GGTTGTTATATTGAATCTGATTTCCATGTATTATTCCAATCCAACAAATCCTAAGTTGCTCCCAAAATGACAAAAAAAACGAGTTGTGACATGTTCTTTAAGTACCTACTTAATATTATTCTCAATTCAAGTAAAAAGTGTGTGTATCGCAAGATCAATTTGTTATTCTCTGTAAAACCGTAAATGCACTTGGGTTTACATAGCTTTACTTAAAACGGTTACGAAAAAATATGTTTTCTTGCTAATTAACCTAACCTTAGTGTATTATAGCGTAATAAATCTAAACTACCAAATCAATTTTATTAACAATAACCAAATTTATACGGTTTCAGCTAGTAAATCGCTAAAATAAATAAAAACATTGTTACAGCTGTAGATGCTGAATACATAAAAGATGAATTACACAAATTCCGATCAGAGCAAGTGGAACATTCCAAAAGTTGATCTCTGCCATTCCGGTACATTTGGCTGAGAACATCGCAAACATCGTATGGTCGACAAGAGCGATGCACCCAAGTCACGCCATCATCTAAAAGTGATACCAAAGCTAAACGTTTGATCGAGACATTTCATATAAAAAGCTAAAATACAGGAATATTTTCTTTTTGTAAAGACTATTAAAGACTGTCGTAACTGAGATACGAAGGCTTCAAGTCGTTGAAGGTTCTTTGATTCCGTCGGATAATTGAAGACTAATATAGTTTGCTTGCTGATTGACTAACCACTTGCACGCACATTGCACATTGCTGAATATACGAATTTCTATATGTGTAGAAGTTCTACTGAAAACGGAACTTAAAAATTAAATATAGCATTTACAGTTAATATATACTGATGGACAAAATTAGTGCACCATCTATAAATTTCAAAGAAAAAAATATTATAAACCCTACATACTTTTATCAAAATTCAAATTATTGTTTTTAAATTAATGTGACGCTGTTTTCGAAAGAAAAAGTAAAACAAAACATAAATCACTAGTTTATCAGATTTTTGGTAAACATTTATGAAAAATATATTTTGAAATTCAGGCAACGTTTCTGGCTGCTATTCTTGAAGAACCGCGTTTTCCAATTCAGCCAAGTTCTCAGGAGTAGGATCGAAGATTCCGAAGATCGCCCATCCGAAGATTTTAAACACACTCTAGCTTCATCAGTAAACCAGACTTTCTTCCAGTCATCCAAATTCCAATCCACATGTTGTCGAGCAAACTCAAGCCTACCTTGCTGGTGGACTGTGGATAAGAGAAGACCATTTCCGGGATGTTTTGCAGTCAATCCGAATTCTTTAAGCCTTCTTCTTACCGTTTTGGAAGAAATGACAAAATTTCGGGCATTTTGAATTCGATTTTTTATCTCATTTCCGGTAATAAACTGATTTCTTAAAATTGGCAGTCGATATAAAATGAGATAAAACGATGGTCCACCTGCTTGTGGATCTTGGTAGGCTTTGCCCTGGTCGTCTAGCATCACAACCTGTTTTCCTAAAACGCTGAAGACATCGACCAATGGTGATGTAATGAACACTCAAGTTTCGGACAACCTCACGTTGGGAATACCCGTCTTCCAAGGTGACAATTTTGAACGCATCAAACTCACTTATTTTTTTCACTGAGGATGTTTCGATGCGCATACAATTAGGAAACGAAGAAAATTGAATCGAAAACAATACCACACTTGCTGAAGACAATGCTGAGATATTGCAAATGACACAAAACAAGTAGAAACTTGCATCGGAATGAATAGCAAGGGATCAAAAATAATTGGTACTGTGCAATGTTACGATGGTTACATTATTTACCTACTTACTTGAAAAAAAAATGGTTTATTTGAAAATGTATACATAGTGCGCTAATTATGTTCATCAATGTTTATTAAGCAGCTTAGGAAATTCAGTTATCGGAGCCGCAGCATTTGCAATGAACGTTTGCAATCCAAAACTCGTTCATCATTTTTGTAGCCGTTTTATTAAAATTTATATATTGGTAAGACTAGGGAGGTCAGATTGGGAACGATAAAGAAAAGGGCGAATCTTATTATTGCTTACTTCAATATGCAAATTGCAAATAACTATTTCAAATACTTTTTAGGAACGCAGCTATAGGTTGTAGCTGTAGATGGACGCTTTTAGGAAAGCAATTTCCTTTAATGAAATAATGCAAAGCAAACATGAATTATCAGTCACAGTTATGAATGAATAAAATATAAACCTAGGGGATAATGTTAAAAAAAAACGACTTACGGTTTACAATATGCTTAGCACAAACTTGTTCTCCAGGTTGACAAAATGACTTTCGATGATTTTCGTAAGAGTTAAACCTTTCACAATCATTCATCGAATTTGTGATTCCAACATGACTACTGCAAGTATAACATTCCAATCCACTACCTAAAACCAAATGTATCTTACCATGTTAAACACTTACATAAAAATAAAAATTTTTAAAAACAAATCTTACAAGCAAAATCTGTATGTTGAATTTTTCAAGATTATTCTAGTTCAAGTTTCTGTTAAAATAGATATTTAATGATCTAGTGTCATGTGATTAGTGCAGCAATACATATGAACTATACCGTACCTGAATGTGTAGCTAAGAGTAATCCTGCAAAAACTAAGATCAAGTGCATATTTATGTTCGAAACTAGTGCATCACATCAAATTTTAAAGCTGACTAAAAATTCAGATCCCTTGATTTTTTGCCAACAGTGGGACAAGACAAGCGCAAAATTGGGCAACTGGAACAAATATTCCTGTTCGTAAAATTACATGGATCGTTCGTTTGCGCTTTTTATGAATAAAGTAAACAAATTAGATATCATTATAAATAATATGACTAATAACGAAAGTACATAAAATCCAATGGAATTTTAGCTATCATGACTTTGGTACACAATACGATCTTCTGTGGTTCCTCTTACATCAATTGTAAATATTATAATTGAGAAAAACATAAATATCTGTTCTTATCAGGCATATTATAATATGAATCGAAAAATAGAATCGACATTAAAAATAAGAATTTTCCAGTCATCAATCAAAAAGACTGTTCAAGAGCAAATCCTGCATTATTAATCACTTGAGGATAGAATAATAGCTACTCGTAGAATTCAGAAAGAAACATATTCATCAGCTTTGGATCTAATCTTTTAAATACAATACAATTTTGCTATCAAACATGATTAGGTATATCTGACCTATATAAGTAAAAGATTTGCAGTAAAATATGATTTTTTACAAAATGAAGTCAGTCTGTCTATTACTTTGTGCGCTTTTTGCTTTAGCATTGGGTATGAGATTTTTACTATTTCTTAATAATTATCGTTTTGTGATTTAACTGCTTAGAGAGTGCTGCATAATTGCTCTGGTATTTTTGTCAAAATTTGGGAGATTTCAAAACTTTATTTCTTGAATTAGATTGGTCAGCTTTCATCTTCTGGGGGTTTTAAAAGTGACGTATTTAAATTAATTCGTATTTAATGAAATGCATCCAATTAGCGTAAGTTAAATATTCAACATATGAACTATTTGCAGCCGAATCAGATGACAGATTATCATGCTACAGCTGCAGTGGGAAAGATAGTGGTTGTCCGGAACCAGCCACCTTAACTGACTTAGCGAACATGGATATGACGTACTGCACAGGGGTTTTAGCTACTGGTTGTACTAAATATTCAGTGAATTATTTAAGTGGTAATTACATTTTGATATGTTGCTGAATGTTTAAAATTTTATATCAAAGTTACATTTTAGGAGACGTTTACACGTTCAGAAGCTGTGCGCCCTTAATCGTTGATGAAATCGACGGCACCGGTCTGAACTTCTGTGATTTTATTACAAAAATGTACGCTCCTTTGACAGAGGGATCGCTTGTCAAAGGCGTCGATTGTTATAATTGTACTACCGTAAACTGTAATACATAACAATGAGCTGGATGCATTTAAATATAATCTTAAGTAAGTCTGCACGTGTTTAAAATATTTGATGCAAATAGAGGTATTCTTAAAAATATTATCTCAGTAAAAGCTACAAAAGATGCAAAGTTTTGAGAAATTGAAACCAGGATTTTTTAAATTTTACATCAAATATTAAAGAAATATTTGAATGATGTAAATATATTCATAAGAACTTATGACGATTTCATAGGTTTAGGCAAGTTTGCAGTTGATTTATCGGAACATTGAAATACTTGGATAATCTGTCAATTGACTGTTAGCCTCCGAGATCACCCGATCTGACACCGCCCGACTATTATCTGTAGGATAGGAGATGTTTCGTTCCCCAACAGATACTTTACTAGAACACCTAGAAACGCAACTGAACTAAGGACTAAGATCTGTTTGTTTTGTAAGCCAATAATTTTTATTTTTTCCTTTTTTTATAGCTGATTAATTTATACTTGTGTTAGGAATAGAAATTAATTTTAGAATAAGCTAGGCTAAGACACAAATGTACTAAACAAGAGCAGAAAAACCGATTGGGTCGATACCCTTTTTCTGTAGGAAATAAAGATTATTTATATATGTATATCTGTAGGGCTACATAGAAAGTGTAGCTTACTCAATTAAACCAGAAATGAGCGAATACAAAATTTTGTGACTGCAACTGCATCACGTTTTCAAACGTCTTCACTTATTGAAATATTAATATACAGTGTTTTTTTTATTATTAATTTTATGAAAAAAAATCGTTTATAAAGAGTTCTGCAGTTCTTCCAGTTGTATATAAAGAGCAAATATTACAAACGAAATATGTATGTAAACTATTTTGAAGATTATTCTACAGCAAATTTCGGTAGTGGACCAGACAACCAAAAAAATGTATTCATTTCATCCACCAAATAAAAAGTTCTGGTAGTTTTTGTACCAAGACACTTAAAAATTCATCACTTCTTTTGATGCTAAGAATATCGCAGTATCCTTTTGACCCTGGAATTACTGGACACCCTGCATGTTCTACATCAAAAACACGTTGAACTAACGAGTTTTATTAAATAATTTAATGCTAATTAATTCCATCATTAATTTTCATATTTAAAAAAAATGTTTTTCGAAAAAAACAAAGCCATCAGTTTCCTCATGATAATAAAATTATTGGCTAATCTAAAATTTGGAAGTTCTGAAATAAGTCTTGCTAATTGGTAAATTAAAATACATTGATAATAATGAAATTCTTTGAGTATTTATTTTGCACCGCTTGCAAACAAGCGCCGATTTACCATGTCCTCATTTACTTGGCTTAATAAAGGTTATACCGTCTATAAAGTTCCCAAATTTGAAGTTACATTTATACATATTTTTGGACGCTTGTATAAAATATAAAAAAAGTTATGTATATTTTGTTCGCGATCCTGCAAAACCTAGCCAAGTAAAAAATTCTGTAAGCCAACAAGTTATTATAAAAATGACATAGAATGATATAAACACATGTACATGTCTTGAAATTATAATCACCGTTCGTTCATACCCTACAAATGGACCGGATTGGATTAGGTATCTGGCATAGCTAACTGTAATACTTCTTATTTGCATGGCAGAATTATTATATATTGAAATGCTAATAGTAAAGTTACATCGAATTATACAAAAGACCTATTAACTTTTTGGAGTGACAAAAATGCTTCCATTCAATAAATAGTTTTTGCCTTATTTAAAAACTGTTAATGGAAGATATACCTTAAATACTATAAGGTAACATAAGTATTTAAAGAGTCTATTTACTAAAAAAACATTTTTCCAAGCGATATTAAAACATTTCCAATGTGTTTAGAATTATCTAAAATCGTCAAGAAAAAACAATTCGATACAGCGCTAAGCAAAAGAATGTAAAAATAATTGGGAAAACAGGCATTATTCTACTATTGGAATTGCAAAGATCAGTGCTGCAAGTGGTGCATGTATGTTGGCCTGGTAAAATTTCATTTCTTCTTCTTAGCTGTTGAAAAATGTCTTCACAAGTGGCCCCAAAGCGGAGAGCTTGACAACCTCTGGTGATGTGGTTGATTGGAGGAGTTCCAGGAATCATTGCTGCAGGAAAAAATCCTTATATGAAAATAATCCAATAAATATGTATTTATATTATCAAGCTAAAATTAAGCAACTTGAGATAAATAGAACAATAGTTGGCCTACCACTTAACTATGAGCGAAATCGGGAATCATATCTATCTAATCTTTACAAACTCGGTCTGTAGGTCGAATCTATCAACAAAACATACTTAAGGAAAAGTATATAAACAAAAATTACAACAAGTAGGTACCGGTGTGTACTATTTGAGAAAATGACAGCCTTTACTCTTCCAGCCTTTGTTTTAGTATTAGCCTATGGTATGTATATCTCTATTAATTATATTTTCAGGTATTAGGTTCTCCCTAATAAATGTTTAGAAAATGTTTGAAATAATTTTAGGAATATGCAGCGCAGCATTGTCATGTTATCAATGTGAAGGATCGGAGTCGGATTGTCCTGCAAATCTAAACGACGCGGCAGTAGCGGACTTTAAATTGATTGAGTGCCATGGATTACTGGCTTCTATATGTACTAAAGTTTCAATTCAACTAGCTAATGGTAAATAGTCAATACACAGTCAATAGCACTTAAACCCTTTCAATGTAATCTACATTTCAGGGAACAATTACACGTCTCGAAATTGTGGTCCAGCCAACATTCAAACCAATTCTTCTGAAACTTTTTGCGAATTTATCAAATCTATTTATTCCCCACTGATTTCAGAAAGTATTCTTGATGAATTTTCTTGCGCTGCTTGTACTGAATCGAAATGTAATGTTTAAATGCCATATGGACTTTGTTAAAATAAAGTAGATTATACAATGTAATAACATACTTTGATAGTGATAAGCTGCGCAGACAGATGGGCCCATACAATTCACTCTGCGCAGCTGAGTCCGATCACCATAAAGACAAGGGCTAGAATCGCCCAGTCCTAATCTGGCCACACATTCATAACATCTTATTGCGTTTCCTAAATAGTATATTTTAGAGTAAAATACAGGAGATATTTTGCGGTCACATACCCTCTTGGAACGCACATAGAATGGCCAGAAATGTCACAAGTCTAGACGAAATGGGCATTTCCATGTCGAATGTTTGGATAACATTAACAAATCCTGGTCTACCACAATTACAACTTCAGGCACTTTGCACTATGACAATCTTCATAGAGAACTATTAAGAAGTTTTGACTGAAAAAATCGCCAGTTTTGATCTGAGGAATACAACCAAACTTCGTTTGCTTGCGAGGTGTTATAAGTTGATAATTACTCATTGCCGGCCCAGTTTTTCGTAAACGAGGTAAACAAGAATCTGTGCCATTGCATACAAATATCTTCCTTTTTAGTAAAATTACTCTCAGGAGATTAGGGAACTGCAGCAGTTTTCGTCTGAATGTGACTTAATTTTAAGCGGGGCTGAGAAAAATAATTTATTTGCAATAATTTTTTGTACATTGTGATCTGTTTTTCATTATGTATCGTCGTGTTTAACGGTTTTGTCGTATCAATATTATTCCTTGCTTGCTATTTGTATTTAGGTTTTTGAACCTTTTCATACCACTAAAGTCAATAATGTTTTTAGACTTAATCTTAAAAGCAGTTAAACTTGCGACTTGCTAGTTTTTCAATTGAATCAATTTTCCACTTATGCATGTCTCGTCATTGTTATTTATAAAGATTTTATCAATAGACATAATTCTATGAAAGCAATAAAATTAGGTTTGTACACCCTAAATATGTGATGAAGTAATTGAGCCCTAGCAACGACAGCAACAGAAGAACTTGTATTGGTGATGCAAAATTACAAAGCAACTACGTTTGGCATTGGTATACCAGAATATTGAAAAGAAAGTGATAACTTGTACATTTATTTTACGTTTTAGCTGATACTTCATGTTATCGTATGGTTAGCAAATCTCTAACAACATTAACAAACTTTTCATAGTATACACATAGAGTAAACACTGCCGTATAATAAATAAGTCATTAAGTTTTGGTTTCGAGCGCTGAAGTTGGTTTATAATCAACAAGAGGAAATTGCATTACTTTTCAGCCTATATGACTTGCTCTTGAATAAAACTGGACTTTCTGGACTTGGGCAATAATTTCAAAATACATTTTCAGTGGATATTTAGGGCAGAATATAAATCATTCAAAATGTTGGCTTGCGGAAGGTCCAAGAGACGTTCCTACAGATACTTCACCAATTTCGGCGTTTTTTAGAGAATTAGGAGGAACGAAACATCATCTCGATAATAGTGTGTGATCCTCAAAATTTGTTAAATCCCTGGTGTTTTTTTAACCATGAGTGCTTCTTTCTGTCCATATCACGTTTCACATCGATCTTTCTTCGCCTTATCAGTGGCAGGTGGGAGGCCTTATCAGTGGCACTAACCCAACCTTTTCCAGTCTTTTTATGAAGAAGATGCGTTTTTATTACCGCAAAGTAATATCAAGATGTGCAGATAAAGTTGCCAACGTCATCAACTTTAATCGAGTTTTTTAATTCAACAAACAATGCTTTAGAGGTAAAGTAAGTACACAGATAAGAAATATTCAAGATTAATTGTCTAGTCTACCTATATATTGAATATAAATAATCTGCTTTTCCTTATTTACTTTATTTAGATTTAGGGTCACATAATTATTGTATTTTTCTTAATACGTACGTACTTGAATGAACAGGATCATAACATCGGAGGACTGTAAAAATTTTTAGTTAGTTTAGTTTTAAGTTAAAAGAAAAAAGGCATCTTGAATAATTAAAACGATCACAATAGTTTCATCAGTAGAACGCTAAAGTGAATATACATTATTTGTTACTATTGTTATTATAAAATGTCGGGTAATTTATTTGATTAGCATGGACAGCCATAAATTACTGGAAATTTTATATTTTACAAAAATAACTGACTTGATTTTAAACTAGACTTATCCTCACACATTTTGGTCAGTTAAGCTTTTATTTGTCGCCAAATTTGAATAATCTCTACACTTAATAAGTTCTTACGCTTTCCTGTATATCGACGGAATTTAAGCGCTCCACTCCTTTTTGAAAAAAGTATTACCATGAAAAAAATTAAATAAAATTTTAGTAACTTACGTTTAAACCCGATCAGATTTAAACATAAAAATTAGCAAATACACAATCTATCCCTAATATTACTGTATTTGAAAATGTTTAATTTTAGGGTGCAGTAAAAAGAATCCTCTTAATCTTGCATTGAAACAAATGTCTCCGTATAACAATTGATTATTTAGTTAATTATATTGGCTAACAGAGTAATAATTGTAAATATATTAACTCGTGTCTGTACCGAGAGGTATCAATATAAAGTATTAATCGGATGTATTAAATTTAGTTCTTACTGTGCAATTGTTGATAACGGTGTGTGAAACTTAACAGATTATAATGATCTTCTTGGGACTAGCAATATTCATATTTGGATCTTTTGTTCAAGGTAAATTAATTTTTGAAAAATGTATCAATTATTAAAATTTCAAACTTCTTAATTAGTTTCAGGGCAAAATGTTTTACATTGTTATGAATGTACCCCCAATATAGACTGCGCAAATCATTCAGTCGTTCCAAGCAACAATTGCTATGAACAACTTGGCGATTTTACGGACGGAATTTCAGTTACTTGCTATTCAACATTTCTAAACTACACTGGTAAGCGCAATGTTAAAATTTTAACGATTTTTTTAAGTACAGGCATATTTGGTACAAGACGCGTTTTGTGTATATTTAGTATTTTATTTTATTTGTTCATTTTTGTCCTTACCTTTTCACTTACCAAAGCTATGAGTTACCAGAGTTTGAGCTATCCATGATGTCCATTTATTTCAATAGTCATACATGCTAAATGCAATAATACATTTCAATAATGTAGACTTTGATTTTAGCCTAATTCACAAAGACTTATAAATGTTCTGCACTTGTAGGTGTTACAGATCTTGTAGGAAATCCTAGAGATTCAGAAACCGGAATCTATAGGGACTGTGGAATCATACCCGACTATATGGGTGATTATTGCGAATGGTTTATAGGAGAATTGGGACTGTTTAATATTACGGTGGAATCATGCAAGTCTTGCAATACATCTTTCTGCAATAATCATGTGTTCAATGAGATTGATGGTTCAATAGTAGTAACTGAGGATGACAGTGGTTCTTATATAACAACACTGTCTTTGATTTTACTTATATCCGGCATAACAATGACAAAGTTTGTTTAATAAAGGAATGTTTGGGTGTTAAAGACCCTTTCTAGATATATTTAGGGCATCCTTTCTGAAATAATACGCTAGGAAAACAATAATTGAATTAAGTATACATCTTGATCATAAAAAACATGATCAAAACAGCCTAAGAATATTTCCCAGGAAATAATGGCCGAGGTAAAAAGTTATGGCAGCTCAATCATATGCGTTATCAGTTAGTTTGTTCAGATTATATATTTAATTGTTCTAATTGTAAAAAAAATATTCAATGTACTGCGTTAATATCGGTTCCTGATAAACGTCGCAAATACTTACGATTGCCCGTTTTATGTAACATATCTAAGCTCCAATACTAATCGGATAAACAATTTCTATAAGTATATTTAATGCAATTTTAATAACTGCTTTTCATCTGCTAGATTTTCTCGAAGCCTTAATATTTGTGCGGAGATCACAATTGATATTAAACCGATTTCAAGATTTGTATGTATTATGTTAATACCATGTACTGACAAAACGAATTACATGTGACTGGTTTTTCCAACAGATTAAATAGTGCGGCTTTCAGCACTTACAATTAAAGAAAGGTGCTGAGATACTAACATTATTTTATAACTAAATTGTTTTTTATTAATCAAAAACAGGTTCAAATTGCAGCTTTTACTCCGATAAATTTGACAAAATTTCCAAATTCACCGGTTTAAATAAACTGGTAAAATAACTAAAAATACACATATATTTCACTATTCTTATCCTAGCAACATTAATAGCAAACTGAAAAATAGCTAATCGGAAGAATAAAACAGATCATTCCCGAAAATTAAGTGTTACAAAATCAACCATATCTAAGGGTTTTTACTTCAAGTAAATCTAATACATTTTTACTTATTTAAATAAATTTCACAACATTTTGTGATGAATTTTCGCAAAAACTTAAGTTACTATATTAACCTATATTATTATAAAAGAAACTTTAATTATTATTTTGAACTTTTTAGTACCTTAAAATATTATACATTCAAGTAACTTCTTAGGAATATGAAATGTAATTAAGTTTTTATTTACAAAAGTGGAGTAATATAAAAAATTCTGAACTTTGATTTATTGTATATAACAAAGGTCGGTATATGTATAATATTTACCAGATCCAATAAGAAATTAGATTTTCAATCAGATGAAAACTTTGTATCGCTCATATATATCTCTTAACATCTTCATGTAACAACTCTGCTTATTAAAATTAAAACTTCTCTGTTACGAAGAAAAGGCCCATATAAGAACCAAAGGTACAAAACTGGCGAGGAAGATGTTGAATTTCAATCCAGTGGCCGAGTTGCAACCATCGTATTCGCAGTACTCGCAAAAATCTAATGAAATGCCTCTGGCTACTGCTTCATAGCAAGTACCAACTTCCTTTTCAAATGGAATCATCTCGCAACGTCTGATGTATGTTAGTTGATAATCTCCAACTGCAAAATAAGAAAAATGAAACTAAAAACAACTACAAGTCATTTTTTTATTTATCATGCTTCACAGTCGAAGAAATTTTGAAAATAAAGAAATGTCGATTTCAGGTATCAGAGGATTATGCAGTTTGTGTTCGTTTTCACACATTGACTCACAATATCGAGATATGAATACGAATAAAGAAATAGTGAAGAGATGTAAACAATTGTACCGAAAAAAATTATAAATTCGTATTGTAAACATCTAACCCAAATGCGAAACGGGTTTTCATTCGAGCACAAGTTGGGATAATGCGTGCATCTGGAAACAAGGTAAATTTTTAGAAAGTGTATAAAAGAAAAGTGTATAAAGAAAGTGTCGTTATGTGTTGAGTTACTGGATAAACTGCTGGTAGGTGAGAATGTAAGTAAACCCACTTGCAAAATTATATATCATGTTAGATATTTTGAAGAACACATTGAACAAAGGGTTTCTGATTACGTTCACAGTCGTAAAATTTGACCACATTTAAAGGCAGAAATAACATGTTTGGCTTTAGTTGAAGTCATTAAGCTTTAGCTAATTTTTATAGGTGTGTTGTATGGTAATAATCTAAATATAATATAGATAATATGTCTATACTGTAAGTCCGAAATATATTTGAAGTTATTCTTAAGAAAAATAATACAATTCCAACGTGAGACTTATACGGGCTGTCCATTTGAAAACTTCCCACGCTTAATATCTTTCTTGCAGTTTAAAATATGAAAAATCGGAAACACTCGTCAATTTTATTTTAAATCTACATTTTTAGCCTCCTTGTTTCAACCCCCTAGGACGGGTAGATGTCACCCTTAGACACCCTTAGAATTTTAAATGGGAAGGGGGGTCAAGTGGCACATCGTTTAAAAAAACGTTCAATTCTCTTTACATTAGTTACTACTTTGTTGCTTTTTGTCCAGAGGTTTTCGAATAATCGATTGGTCCTTTGACCTGCGTAAAAACTTTCATTCTAAAACATCAACATACACGTGCAGGTTTATTTAGGTCAAATACCCAGTTAGCTTTACACGTTAGTTTCAATTAAGTATATTTGAAGAAACTTTCACTTCTATGTCAATGTGGGAAGAATGATGATTTGATTATGTACTCTGATGTTTAAAAAGCATGTATAAATAATTTTAAAGTTCTTTTAAAGCTTAATTTTCGGTCGGCTTATTCTCACGTTTAACTGTTTTTTCAACTTATCATCGCATTGCCAAATGAAAGTTAAGTAGCAGGCATAGGTTAAATGGTCAACTAGTGCTTCAAAAATATATTATCAAGTATGGTTGAATTATAGGTGAAAGCTTGAAATTGAAATTGAAAGTTGATATTGATATATGCAATTAGTAATAGGACGTTTTTTAAATAGTACTACAAACATTAAAGTATTACTTTAACTTAGTTTAACTTAACTTAAAATGAGATTTTTAAAAATTGTCGCATATAAACCGTATATTTTATTTAATCACTCTAGTTTTATTATTATCAGTTTTTTTATTCTTTAAGTAGTTACCTGAGACCTATGTTTTGTTTTTGATTTTAAAATGTTTTATTTTAAGTTTTCCAATGTTAATAATTTTGTTTTTAATAAAGGAAATCATTATGTCTCATCACTATTTCTACTATCATGATTCTGCATTTTTTATGAAAAATTTAAAAAGTAACATGTTCCATTTGGAACCGCATTTTGAAACCTAGAACCTGGTGAAACTGGAACGTTGTAACCCGTTACAGAAAAATAACCGTTTGTCACACCTCTAGTAGCAATAACGTTTTTGGTCTTAAAGTCTGGTTAAAGCTCATTTTGAAGCCAAAACTTCATAGATAATTTAATACAAGAATTCAATATATGGCGTTGAATAAAAAATAAGCCAGAGCAGAATTTCCCCCGAGATCTGTAACTCTGGCACAATTTTAACTAAAATCACGTTCACTTTAAAAAATTTCGTTCATTCATGAGACCCGATATGTTGACTGTCGACGTGAAGTTTTTGCTTCAACATGAGTCCTAGATTTTAAATATCGGCTCAAGAAAAATGTTTAATGCCTGCGGTGTGGAAATTTAAAAAAAAAAGTTTTTTGGTTCAATGGAGAGCATGATAAAATGTCACCAATTTTGCATTGTTTCGTTTGCCACCCTACAAACTTTATCTGAATCACTCATTTACTGCACAAACAGACACTAATAGAAAAATAATTGCACTAAATACCGCTTCAAACAGAAATCAAATCGCCAGCTACAATCAGGGTTTATACAATTTCAAAATTAGTCGAAATTTGTCCGTGTAGCGTCTATTTTATTGAGCATTTTATTAACAATTGAACAGATTATTCAAAATAAATGTTTACATTCAAAACTTCCGCCTGCTTGAAAACATTTAATGTGATTCTTGATGTGGTTTTTTTTAATTGAATTTTTAATCTTTTGCAATGTATAACCACAAGCACTTTAACGTGCAACTGAAAAAGAACAAACGCATTTGAAAATAATTGGAATCCGTGGAACCTTGAATTTTGTTTTCTTACCTGCAGGTTTATACAAAAAGTACTTAATATTAATTTAGTTTGACCTCAACTCTAGTGTATTAAACAAACAACAACACTTACTTCTTTGAACCTTCTTGATGCAAACATTTCTCATCCTTCTTAGTCTGGCTTCCTCCTCATTGCACGTAGTCAACCTAGGCCCTGATTGACTAGCAACCTGAGCCTGGGCCCTTTGGTAGTTAACATCCCTGGTAGGATAATTGGGATCGTAGTTGCGGCCTTGATTGTAATCTCTAGGAGGGTAATCCCGATTATTGGGGTCTCTGTTGTAGGGCTCCCTATGATCCCTGTCAAAGTAGGGATCCCTATTTCCGTCCCTGTAATTAGGGTCTCTGGTGTTGTAGTCCCGATTGTATGCATCCCGCGATCGATCCCTATCGTATTGATCTCTGGTGTTTGGATCTCTGCTGTTGTAGTCACGAGTTCTGTAGTCTCGGTCCCTGTCAAAATCACGACTATTAGGGTCCCCGTTAACAGGTTCCCGATAGTTAGGGTTGCGATTATTAGGGTCACGGTTATTGTAGTCCCCGCGATTGTCGTAATGTCTATCGCGATTCGGATCCCGAGTGGTCGAGTCCCTATCAATGGGATTCCTGTTGTAATAATCCCTATCTCGGTCTCTACTGTTATAGTCTCGGTCCCTCTGATTTTGATTATAGCGGTCTCTATCGTAATTATTTCCCGTTCCATTCGTTCCGTTTCTAAAATAGCCATCCCTGTCAATACTGCGATAATCGGTATTGTTGTAACGATCCTGACTGTATCGATCAGTAGCATTATAAGTTCTGGAAATGTAATCGCGATGATCATAATCCCGAGCGTTTGATCTGTTATTCTGATAATCCAAATTCTTATCATTGTATGGACTGTTAGGATCCCTACTTCGATCATCGGGTCGTCTGTATTCCTCCCTATTATTCGAGCCTCGATTGTATTGATCGCGGTTACCCGCAGGATCTTTATTATAGTCCCGATAAATTTCAGTGGGACGGTTATTGTCGTTCGGATACGTGGAGTAGCCTCTATAAAAGAAGTGTTTAGTCAATATTCTTCTAACTACTCAAAAATATGTCAAACCGGGGACTACAAAGACCGGTCAACAGGTTCGGTTAGGTGTTGAGCCTGTGGATACAATATTAAAGAAAAATATGCCATAACTTTACATAATTGCACAGTTATATATTAATTTTTGCCAACTGTTACTTTAGTGTTAATTTTTTTCTAGTTATGTCATACTTTTGGATAACTCTTGTACACTCCTGGAAATTTAGAAAAATTAGAATGGTGATAAAGAACAAAGTAATGATTTATTAGCAAGGGAGGAAGCAAGATTTTAATGGCTGCTTTTCAATTACCTACTAATCATCTGCAGTTGTTGATAAGTTCTTCAGATTTTGTAAATTACACTTTTTCTATGTAACTGGTTAAGCCTGCTAGTTTAAGATTCAATTTTTAAAATAATTTTGAATTGTTTGTTTTTAATACAGAGTTTCTGGAAATACATGCGACAAAACTTGCAAACAGATTCTTCTAAATAACCCCTGAATATTTTGCAAAGAAATAAAACCACCATGAAAGTAAGAAAAGCGGTTAACATGTGGGAAGAGGCGAATTGTTCGTATCCCGTAAATTACTATACTTTATACTTCTTCGTCAGGCAAGTTAAAAATGTGGAATTCCTATTTGTTATTACTTATTCCAATATTCCATCCAAAAGTCAATATTTCATATCTAAAACTCTGATTTGTGGTAAATGGCTCTGTGGTCGAGGTTATAACTTTTATAATTGTTGTATTTTCAAAGTTATTCTTTAATTTTTTTGAAATCGTCCCCAATTGCAGATTAACCGCACTGGAAAAATTTCAATCCAATTTATATCTGCATTTCGCTCGGAAACTTTGTGATTCCTAAAAATTGAAGCAGAAATTTTTTTGTTAAGTGGACCTGCAAGAAGCCAAAGTTCGGAAATATATTAAAAATCGCAATTTTTCGCGACGAACTTCCAATGGATGCTACTGTTTGGCAAGAAAATACCAATTACCGGTTGCTTTTTTCATAAATGTGCTTTTGTGTAAAGTTTGTCAACAAAATCGTTGCTAAAAAACTGTATCAAATTAGATCAAAAGACCTAAATGAAAAGGTTAATTGGCACAAAGTAAATAGGTAAACTCATTTGTAAAAGATCACATTACTAAAAAGTAAGCAATATTTTGACCAAATCTTCTTCTGGAAAAAAAATAAAAACTCGTCCCGCAATTCATCTGGAGTTTATGTAAAGTATATTCGTGGTTGGATATAATGCGGAATTGAATAAGATTTTTGCAACTATATTTTTGTTGCAATCATAGAAAATTGTACAAATTTATACGCTTTACAAGGTCGCAATGTAGGAAATGTGAATAATTTAATAACCGGCCATTCAACTTTGACCCGTAATTTTTTTCTGAGAGAAAATGATCAACAAATAAGCCTAAAAATGGCAATAATATTAAGTTTCTGCGAATAATAACTGAAGAATCTTGAAAAACAACGTTATCCAAACAGAGAATGTTAATTTTGCATATTGATCTTATTAAGAAGTTTTATGCTGTAATATCAGTCTAGATTTTAAACATGTAATATTAGAATTAAATATCAGCAATTTAGTAAAGGAAAATATAATTACTAAGATTACAAAAATATGTTTTGTTGGATGCTCCTCATTTTTTCTTTTTGTAATAAATTGATTAGTTACTGGGTGGTTCCTAATGTGAAACCAACAGTTTAGAAAAAACTCAAAAAAACGTCTGAAATAATACGAAAATTATAAAAATATTTTTAAAATGATGTATATCCTAAGGATTATCACATACTTTTTGAAATAACCATAGGAAGGTTCTGGGATTAAGTAAAAACCTTTGAGAATAATGTACACAAGAGGGCTTTAGATATTTAATTGAAAATGGATAATTCTGATTGGAAGCAACTAGATTTAATTTCCAGAACAATTTTCAATAATCGCAATAAAACACCATTAGATCAGATGTTTCGAATTACCTTTAATTTCCTGCATTTCTATTTCAAATAATGATATATTTATTTAGAAGTAAGCTATTTGTACACTGATGAACATTTTGTGGCTGAAAACAGATGTTGGACCTTTATCGTTATGTTGTATATTTTCTTGTGCCCCTAAAGTAGATTGTCGCTCTGCATTATAATGGTATTTTTTGTATTCAAAATCACGTTTAACTTTAGTAATATCGGGGCTCATTAAAAATACGGATTATGTCAATATTTGGATTGCTTGTAATACATCATGTATTAAAATTATTTAAACTGACTCGAAATACTTCGTAGTTGGTTTTGATACTAGAAGCAATCGTGCTGTGAAAATATTTTTGTCAATAATTAAAATTCAACAGCAAATAAAAAAATTGTTTTTATCATATAGAGTTTGTTTAAAATTATTTATTTTAGGTACTGCTGGTTTTAAAGCTGTGATATCCGCAATAGCAATACACACGAAAATCTAAGTTTCACTAACTCATGCCGCTCGTTTTGAGAAACAACTTAAGCAAAAAAATATAATTATTACCTAATAATATTTTTTTGTGTTTTTGCATGACTAGAGTAGTGAGAAATTAAGTCATGCTTCAATTCGATGCAAAATTGAAGTTTTGTGATATAAAATACCTCATGAACTTGTATCAGTTACAAGTCACATGTACTTAAATTGCGAATATACAGAAAAGCTCTTCGAATATAATGTACATACATACAGCCATTTAAATCTTAGCTTACAATCTGAATGCAAGAATTTTATGCAATAGCGGTAATAATTCCAAAGTGAAATGTGCCAATGTGTGAATGGAATTCTACAATAAACAGGTGGTTAGTGAAAAAGCCATTTCTGGTGCAAAATGTGGGCATTAGCACAGAATACCTAACCGATCCTTGAAATTCGATAATTGAACTGACTTTGTTTATGCATTTGAGGTGAGTGATTCTTTGTGAAATGTTAATAACCTTAGTGTGTTTACTGGTTATTTGCAATCTTTAAAAACTGATTAGGAGTTAGACATAACATATCAGTTAAATTATCAAACCTGACATACAATTAAAACCCACATTATTTCAAACTGAATCGTTCAGTCGTTAATTTGTTAGCAAAAACAACTCTATTTAAGGCATAAAATATTCCTATGGAGTGCTAATTTTATGACATACAATTCACCAAGTTCCATTTCAAGTTTAATGATAATCGGTGCCCATAAAGTCACTGCTTAATTAAAATACTACATACTATGGAAAATGGTTATTCGATACTCTTGAAATAATGCGAATTTTTGCATTCGTCAATATGATACACAACTACATAATTAATCATCACTGATGATTGGTGAGCAATGCAAAGTGGTTTACCTGTCGGACGGCCTCTGGTTGTACGGATCGTATGGTTGTTGATTATAAGGTGACTGGTAGGCTTGGTCGAATCCAAGACCAAATCGGAAATCTGATGCATTGAACCTGTCCGCACAACTGCGATCTATGTCGCTCGAACATGTCCAACATTGCAAAGCAGAACCTGAAAATAAATTATTTATTTGAAGCTATAAAGCATTCACTACCAAGCAAATAAAAAAAAATGTACTATTACAAATTGTCGAAGTATGTATATTTGTGTGAGGATTCGCAAACACTAATGAAGAGAACACAATTGGATAAGGCTAAATTGTACTTAGAGCTTGCTTTATTATAATTGTACAATTACATTTTGATATAAATTTTAAATACATTCATTTTTTGTTATTGAAATGCTGATAAAATTCAACACACAATTTAATTTCGAAATTTTGTTCACGAGCTGTCTAAAAGCAGTAGTTAAAGCTTGAATGAAACGTTATGCTTGCCTTAGAACAGATGTTTAATATTCACAACGTTTCGACTAGCAGGTGTCTCTTAACAGTTTTCAACTTTACAATTACCACGTATCGTCCACTTTTCGCGTTATAAATTAATCATAGCAGACCAATAGAAAAACAGCGATAATTTCTGTCCATCATCCTCACGTAAATTTGAATGGTAATTGAGTTATTAAAGTGGCGTATACTAATATACAGAACTAAATATCCCAAATGAGCAACAACTTTTTGAACATTCAATACTTGTTCTCCGCACTATAGTTGAACAAAGTACAGTTTAGCAACAGAAATAAACAATCGTGCAATTGAGTAAGAATTCAAGGTGAAACCAACAATAAATGTGTTTATAAACATGTTTCAATCGACAAACCCATAATGACGACGGTTTTAATACGACTACCTGTTGTATCTAATGCATATTGTGCTGTATACAAGGCGTTCATTTTTTTCCGGAGCACCAATGCAATTTTAGTTAATGTTCTATGCAGGGTGAAACAGCTAATAGTAAAAGGAAAGTCAGTGATGGAAAATTATATTTTTCAGATGACATGTTTCCATGTACAAACTGTGCCTTAGAAATTATTTAACTTTCCCAGAAATTAAGTAGAAAAGTGAATATAGTTTTGCTGCAAGAATAATGTCAACTATTGAGTAAAATAAATTGTTTTGATTTTGAAAATTTGCTTTATATTCAAGACCGTTTGGAATATTTTGTTTAGAAATACTCATAAATCCTAGCTTTGCTCACACCAAAAAGAATAATTTTGCAAGCAGTTAGTGTTCGGTGAAAATGCATTCCGAAACTGTAGTAGCAGTAGTAGTTACAACATGCAAAAGCGAGCGATGCATGGAAAATAACTTAAAACAATTTAAAAGAGTTTCAAGTTGTGTTCTTACAACATTTTTGACCAAAAAATGTTCGCTGAAGATTATATTCTTGATACTGTWAAAGTAGCCCACCCTGTATATGCAGGGTATCTAAGTAAATTTAACGAATTCATAAACATATTTTCATAAAAGCGAGATCTTTCAAACATGTAGCCCCATAGATGGTTTTCACTTTTTTAGTTTAAAAAGTCTAAATTATTGGAAAAACTATRAAGTTCTTTGTTTTGTTAATTTTCATTTATCCATAAAATTACCGAAATTAAGCGAAACGCAAATTTAACAATGCTAAGTAAAAGTAAAAACACAAAAAAATCGGTCACTTTATTTTGGAACAAAATGTTATATTTATATCTATACACATATCGGTATGTTTAGATTTGTGTGAAAATGCTTAGATCAATCAAGCAATGGATATCTGTATATTAAATGTTTCACATTTCTGTTGCAAAATCGGTGGTTTTAATTGCAACAACTGTATGTAGGAAGCATTCAAAACCATTTAAATAATTAAATATGTTGCCCCATACGCTGAGAACGGAACCCCAAATGTAATAACATGCCAATATGAAGTATTTAAGCTGCGTTTTTGAATAATTTGACGAATCTTCAATTAAATAGCTTCAATTCGTTTAGATGTGGTTTCCGGCTGACATGCAGGAAATGCATGTATATTAATTTTCTAGCAAATTCACGAAAATGAGTTTAAAGGTCATAATACACCAGTTATTTATTATAAAGCAGAATGAGTAATTTATTTCGAATCGTCAGGCCGAATATGTTAATTAATGCTTTAAAGCATATACTAATGAATCATCGACTCATAAAATTTTCTCGTCATAATAAGTCATACAAGGTATCATCAAATATATGAATGTGCAAAATGTGAGTCAAGAAAATCAATCGCACAAGAATAACGTTGTCCATAACTCTATTATTATTTGTGTCAATTTTTGTCTGAAATGATTAAATCGAAGTGGTCAGGTTTTTATACAACTGGCGCACAAACTAAACGTAAAAAACTGGCGTAAAAGTGCAATGTCTTATGTCTATTGTCTGTGCAATTTCAATTAAATTGTATTAACGGGAATGAAAATGCTGATTTTTTTTTAGGAATTAACCATTTCCTGTTTTTAACCAGTGGCAACAATAACAAAATTTATCGGTATTTCCTATATAATATTAAAATCGATGTGGGATGATTAAGAAGCAGCAAAATTACAATGGAAACTGTAAAGTATTTGTCATCCGGAGTTTTAGATTAATTCGTTTACAAATTATGTTTGTGCCGTCTCGCAAATAACAAATCGCAAAACTAGTGACATATTTTCATTAGATTTAATCCGTACCATACATTGAGCACAAGAGCTGCTTTGGATGAGTAACCTTATTAAACTTCCCATCTGCTTTAATTCAGGGATATGACAAAATGAATGAGTTAATAGTCCTGTGCACAGGTTAAGTAGGTGTTTGAGTATTTAATTTGTGAATCATTTCTTTTACTTAATCATATTTGCATTCCTCTTGATAAATGAAAAACAGAACAATGGACTGGCCTTGTAATTGTTCGTAAAACGCAAACTGGAAAATATCGCGAAGGATTAAATATGCAATTAACAGTGATTTTCTGCATTGTTCTGACCAGTTAATCGTGCGAATATTTTCTTCAATGGCTGTCATGGGTGATAATAGTTAAAATTACCCGTATCAGGCTGACAAAGTAATAAAAAACATTATTTAGCAATTAGTAAATGAAGTTCAAAAGTAGAAGTACGTCATATGTGGTAATTGCTTATTAAAAATAGTACAAAGCTGTAAATTGAAAAACTAACCTGCTTTTAATACCCAACTAAATGACCATTGATGAGGTTTAAAGCTAATTAAATTATATAGGTCAATTATCAGCCTGACTCTGCTCTTGTAAAGTGTTTTTAACACGCTTAAATTGCTGCTTCATTATTCGAACCTTTTTATAGAAGGTTATGCGCGATCACAAAACAGTCCTAATTGGTTTTTGGAATGCTATTAAATCAAGCCTGCAAAAACTAATTCGGCTAAAGGCAAATAAAGAACATTCTTCTTTTCGTTTATTGCGCTTAAAAAAAATGATAAAGAGCTGAAAAGAATTTTAATTTTAAATTCTCTATCGAGTCTATCGAGTGTGGTGTCAACATTATTTGCATTTATGAAGCGGAAATAGTATCTGGGTGCATCGGCACGTCATTTACTTCCGTTCTCCGAAAATAATTCTGGTGGAAAGTGTTATGACCCAATTATGTGAAAATGAACACGCAAAATGTTCAGCTTTTTTCATTTGTCTGTAATGTAAGTCCATACGTGCAGGACTAAAATTTTAAATAAGAAACGATATTCCATCTTTCTCCGGGTTTAGCGATTTCCGGAGCTATTAAAACATGTTAGAATGCATTTTCTCATATATCAGCTTGGAAAAATCTAATCGGACACATACAAATGACACTAGAAAATTAAATTTATTTTGAATTTATCGATCCTTTGACTTATTTGCGTGCGCCTTATAATAACAGCCATAAAACCGATTCCTCGTATGATTTTCTAGGATTTAGCCTTCAATTTTCTCGCAGCACCTTAGCAGTTAAGCTCTTGAGATAGTGAAAGTTGTACAGAATTCCTGCAGTTTAGCACTTTTCCACCTATTGAACGTTTAATTGATTTAAACATCTAATACTTTAATACTATTAAAGTAGATCTTGAGCGAAATAGATGGCAAAATATGGAGTATCAAAGCAAACATTAATTCTTGTTAAGAGAATAAATGAGTTTTTGCAAACAGCAAATATTTCTAAAGTTCAATATCCAATTGATATAGTCAAAACCCATAACCAGTATAACAAAACATGTTTTAATTAAATTTGTCTGTCTTCCTACATTTACATAAACCAACGATCTTTTCAACTCTACTTTTAAAGGTTCGATCCAACAACATGCTTAGATATACATGTTACTGTTAGGCTATTAACGATTAAAACCTGTTTCTAGGATGACGTATACTTATAGCAATTGAAGGATTGAATACTAATGATTTCGTTGAGTAACATCCAGTAAGCAACATAACAGACCGGAGCTTTAACTTTTATGCGTTCGGCTAAAATGGCAATTAGCTTAAAGTATTTCCAACGTCTATCAACAAATGTTGTTTTATTTATTTCTCCTAAACCTGCTTCATTCAGTTTCGATAACATTTTTTAATTTAGTTTAATTTGGTTTTCACGGTATTCTTACAGAAATATATATTTTAATGGCTGTGATATAAATACAAACTTCTTGCGCCCAATTCATACATTCAGGTCTTATTAGTTCAACGTTCTGCAACCAAGTCATTATTATTCAGTATCTTCCGTAAATCGTAAATTGTACCGTCGAACAACAAATTACTATGTCAAAAGTGCAAAGAACTTGATAGAGTTAATGAAAATAATGTGTTCAATTTATTGAAAAATTCTCACAAGGATAAAATGTTTATTTTTCTAATAGTTGCAAAAACAATTATTTTACTTATATATGTTACTAATTGAATAAATTGTTAGACGGAAATAGGCTGTGTGTTCTTCAACGTCTGAATATATTGTATATGCAGAAAAAAATCAAATACTGGATGTTCAGTGTAGGTTTAAACACACAGGGTTGGACCGACACTGTCCTTTTGAACATCATGCATATTTATTTAGAACAAATATATTATTAGAAACCACCAAAAATGCTTTTATTCAATTTTTCACTCTCCGTTTTGTTGAATGGTCACCAAATATTCGAATCCATAGCACCTAAACCGTTTTACGTTTTACTATATTTTTTTAATGCGCGAATCTCAATGCGTTTCGATTGTGACATCATTATTCTCTTTCCTTTCACTTTGCTACATCAATCCACTTCCTTGTTATTGTTGTTATTTCCAACGTGAACTTTTCATTGCCGTATTATAGTACGCATAATTGACACCCATAAATAAGAAACATAATTTAATTTACTGAAATTTTACTGTTTTAAAGTTTTACAATCGCAAGCCGTAGGATAAACAGAAAGTTTTAATAATTTTTTGTTAAATCCTTTTCATTAAGCAGACGTTTTTTAAAGTTGACTGTTCATAGATAATGCAAACATATAATTTATGTATTAAATGGAAATTCATTATTTTTAATATATTGAAGGATAATTTTTGAACCAAAGCGCTGTGTGCAAATAATCAAAAATAAAATAATGATAATATAATCAATTGCGGAAAGACCTGTTACTTTTGTAGAAAAATATTAAAGTTTTTACAAAACCTAATAGGTATTTAAACTGCACCTTCCAATCTTCATTCGAATTCGAAATTCGAAAATTATTGAATTTCCAACAGAGCCTAAAAATAAAGTAAGCCTCGAAAGTGTTCATAACCAGAAAGTCTTAAATAATGAATTATTAATATTATAATTATTTCAAATCTACTGATTTAAGCCGAACAAAGTGCCACTCAGTATCAATCGACGTTTCCCATCTACAAGAACAAAACATTATTCTTCTCCATCCAACTAAACTTTTCGGCTTGCATCAAAATTGCCGTTAGATTACACAACTTCAGAGCCAGTTTTTCGACCAATCTCATTGAATAAACCGTTATTCCCAGCTATTCCTTGCTTAAATTTTAATCGCAGTGCCTATGTTGAATAAAGAGCTAGCTAGAGTGAACGTGATATTTCAACTTTTACTGGCGTGCTTCAAGATTACTTAGTAGGTCATTAGATACCAACGCATACTTGGCAAATGGACATGAATTTAAATGTCTTCAGCTTGACTTGTGTGTTTTTGTTATTGTTGTGCTTGATAGTAATTTTATTTAAATTTAATTAAACATATAGACACTTAAACAGAAATAAACAGAAAAAAGGCATTATAGATTAATATGAGAATTTAATGCGAAGTAAACCAGTGTATAGGGAAGAAAATGTTTCGATCGTTTTGAAGCTATTTTCTTCCAATCATATCTAGAAAACAATTTCGTTAAAGTTTGTTTACATTTTCGACTGGCAACACACTAATGACTAAAACTAAAAAAAAATCGTTTGGAATCGACTGGAAATCATCCATTTTTCTTTGAATCTACCAGGTGGAAACTTTTAAAGAGTTTCAATTGGTCACAAACTGTCTTGCTGAAGGGCTAAATAAACGAAAATGAGAAATAAAAAAAAAACATGAGGATACAAATGAAATACAGTAATAATTGACAAAGCGGCAAAAGCAATATATTATATTGCATGCAGTTATAAGCAATAAACACGGCAAAATATTGATATCAAATGCATTGAAGCAATAAGAAATAAGGTGTGTCAATTTTCTAGTGACATTGAATACCTATTAAAGAGCGCAGTGCTTAACGTACGGTGAAATCTTGTGATCGCACCTTCAACAAATATGGCGGCAAATTATTACTTAGATGAAAATTGATTGAAATATGAAATTTTCGATCAGAAAAAGTTGCATTTGGTGCGCACCAGACTTTTATTGTGGTTTTCTAAAACAACTAATTAAATTTGTTAGCTGCTTTTGAATTCTGAAGACAACCACTAAAAAAATGACTTAACCCACTCTGGGAGCGGATGTGCATTTCTAATTAAATTTCCAATAAATGTGAAACTTTAATAATTAAGTTGTTTTTCCTTCTGAAAATGATAGGTGTACTTTTTGCTCTTAATTTAGATTAATAATTAGTTTCAATTTAACTTACCCTTATATAAGCTAAATCCTAAAACTACGAGAGCACCAACTGTAAATTTCAACATAGTGTCTTTAATGAAATAACTTCTAATCGAAAACGGCGCAGTAAACTTAAAATCGGTCAATATACCACATTGAATTCGAACTCGTAGAGTGTGTTAATACTGTTAAATGTCCAAAGAGTTGTAAACACCTTTTGCGTAACACACCGCGCTTACTGAAAGCTCTACCACGGTGGACAAGGAAAGAATGATGTCATGGTTTATTTGCTCAGTTCGATCTTGGCTCCTATGGTTGGTAGGTAGTTACTTGGTTGATGGTTTTACCTTGGCGAATCTTGGCTTGGTTGGATGGTTGGAACCACCAACTCCCACCTCTCGAATCTCACATTTTTGTTTAAGTATAGAATTATGTTTATTGTTACCCGTCTGGTTATTAGTTACATTGGTATTTGTTTAGAAAAGATGGCTGAAGATATGTATAAAACTGGAATTTTTACTCATTGAAGCCTGCTGCCAGGCACAATAATTAATCATGGATTGGTCAAATTAAGTTTTTCGTATTGCTCTTAAATAAACTCATTAAGTGCTCGATTTTCAAACATTTTAATCAGATCTTCAAGGATAGTTCATTTGGAATAGTCCAAAGTATATCTATATATCTAACTTGGCAAACATCGACTACTTTTTAGGCTCAACGTTGCAAAGATATTGCATTAAAAATCAAGGTTAATTTTGATTAACCATCGAGTAAAAAGCTAATATGTAGTTCAAAAAACACATTAATTTATTCCCTAGGTTTTCACACTTCAAAATATATTTAACTATATTGAATAATTTCTTCTTCTTCACACTTCGATTCATTTAAAAAAGTCACACTTAATAGTTACATAAATGCGATACTCCAACATGTACACCTATGTGTATAATTAATTACTCTACCTTGACACAGCATAACATATTAATAATAAAAACGTTTAAGGGTTTCTCTATGTTTTCAATGTCAATGGGACATTGAATATGGCCCGACCGACCAATTAGGTTGCCCAAGAAGGTAGAAAAGTGGTTTAGGTGGATTCTTTTGGGATGTGCGAAATTAAATAATCGCTTAAAATTTAATTGATGCATTGTTTTCGGCGTCCTGACTGTGAATTTAATAATAACGTTGTGTTGCCAAATAATAATTTATAAATTAGATACCATCAACGATAGCACCATAAGAGGATGTTACTGTGGATTTGTAGGTGAAAATGTCCTCAGTTGAATATTCACCCAGATTTTATGGTTTTAAAAAATATAAAAAAACTGAAAGCTCAATATGTAAAACTGTTTATCGTCCTGAAGTTACATTATTTTAGTGGTTAAATATACTTTGCATTTAAATCTGGATAATTTCCTTAAAAGTCGTGACTTCCTGGGGGTTAATGAAACCTTTCTGAAATCAGAGAAATTGCTTTGCAAAAACACATTTTTTTAAATTTAGATACGAAATCCGTCATTATAGCGATTATCTGCAGTATAAATCGGTTTATTGTACCGGGTGCCAATTTGAAAACCTCCCAGCCTTAATATCTTTCTTCCAGTTAAAAATATGAAAAATCGAAAATACGTCTGATCATCATTTTGTTTCAACCCTCTAGTGGCACATCGTTTTAAAGGGCGTTCAATTATCTTTACATTAGTTAATTCTTTGTTGCTTTTTGTCCAGAGATTTCCGAATAATCGCGTTTAAAAGTTGCAGAAACAATTAAACTTGCCTGCATTGAGAGTTTGTTTTCCAGGTTAGTGTTTAGACAAAAATTATTGCATTGGATCTCCTTGTAGTATCTACAAATGATTATGATTGAATTAGTCAATATTTTTAGAAACACAAAATGTATTCAGTTATTAATTTTAGTTTTGGCGTTGTGCACTGGCAGATGAATGAAATTCCGACAAACATAAATGGCTCTAAATTCAAAGTTAAATTAGTAAAAAACCGGCGCTTTTAGCTGTTAACTGTTGCACTTTCGTTAAGGGGAAACGTGAAATCTGCTTTTGGAAATATTGCAGTACGAACAGGCACTTTCTACAAAAATGTCAACAATAAACAAACTGAAACCGAACCAAGTAAAGCATGAATAATCGAAAGGGCGAACAATTATATGATCAAATCATGTTTATTTTGTAGTTCGGTGTATTTTTTCCTGAAAAGGATACACCTTTTTAATGTTCAGTTTACTATCGACAGAGAAACAAATTTGTGTCGTGTGAATCGCGTTCTTAGATGGGAAATATAGAATCATTGTGGACCTTACGACAAGTGCGGTAGTTTGTGAAACTGTCGTTAACTCCTTGAGGATTATTGGGGAGAAAATGAAGGAGGGTGCCCCAGCTTGCAGAAAGCTGGTAAGAATGATCTCTAATCTATAAATCTATCTAAATATAATCTATTTAGCTTGTACTGAATGTAGCTTTCCGACAAGCAACTGAAGTTTAATGGATTATTTATATTTTTCTCTCTTTGCTGTCCTGATTTCAAAAGTCTGACTTTAGACAGATTTCCGGCTGTACTAAACACACTTTCATCTTTTTTTCCAGGTGGCCCTACGCATCCTTCGGTAAGCTTAGCATTAGGACTTTGCCCCTGGTTGCCACGTAGGTACATGTAGAACTTTTAGCACAGCTTATATATCATATATATATATATATGATATTTAAGCTGTGCTTTTAGTCCTATATTCATCAACTGACTCGTAGCGTGGTTTTGATAACCATTGAGCTTTTCTTTGGTAGATGATATTCAAATTTTGATATGTTAGGCCGCTTTGCATTTTTACATCAAGCTTTATGTTTTTTTTATCAAAAGAGTCAATAGTTTGAGTTTTGCCTATTTTTTTCTCAATTGCGACATCGACTGTGTGAAACATGACGTTGCTAAGAACCATTTGAGCCGCCACAGAGTTCGTTTTTATATCACTGAATAGAGAATTGATAATTCGATTCTGTTAGAACAACGCGTGTGCGTAAATTCTGATAAATTTGTCACAAGAAGTCACACGAAATTTGAATATCAGACATTTAGGTGCAACTTTTTACCAAAATTTCATTAACAAAAAACGTTTTCTACAGAATGTCCAATCCTTCAAGTTTCTACTGGGTTTACTTTGGAAGTTGAAATTTTTTTATTGAAGGGTCTGCAGTTGCGTAAAAGCTTTCATTTTCAAATCGACATTTAAGAAGCGCGCAAAATTTTGTGTTTTGAATGAATGTTTGAAGGTTGAAGGAACTTGTAGAATAATTTTCGTTTTTGACAATTTTTTTTTTCGAAAAAACGCGATGCAAATGTTTCTCGCAACAGAATTTTTCATGTCATAAAATTTTTAAAGACACAAACAAAAAAGATCACTACAATCTCTATTAGTAATGTTTTCCCAAATTGGTCACTGCAACGCTATTGCACCGGTGAGTTACTGTGTTACTAAGCCATTTCGGCATCACTGCGCCAACTCCTGAAGATTCATTGAGTTACCGACGCCTATTAAAATCGTTGAGTAACAAGAATAGAATCTAGTTTAAAGAATTGATTTCTTATTTATTGATTATTTAACTGCGAGAAAGACAATTTTTTATTTGCGGAGGGAAGATTTTTTCATAAGTGGTTCAAAATGTCCATTTTCCTGTAAGCAATAATAAAGTCTAATTTCTCCCTAACATTTCGGAAAACTTTTAAGATCATCAGTCAGAGGGTTGTGTTTTATAAACAATGTATTTAAGATGTCCCCAAAGAAAGAAGTCTAAGGATGTTAAATCCGGAGATCTTGGAGGACATTCAATTGGTCTCTTCCTGACAATCCGTCTATCCGATAATCTCTGGTTAAATCACTGCCGGGCCGGAAGAAAATAATACAAAATAAACACAACCTGCTGATATTGATAATCTTAAAAAGCGAATTGCTGCAGACACCGATCAATTTCCGACAGAATACCGATCAATTTCCGGTGAAGTTTTCCGAATGTTAGGGAGAGTCCGAAAATAGACTTTATTACTGTTGCAGGAAAATAGACAACATTTTGAAAAACTTATAAGATCTTGCGTAAGTAGATCGCATGGGTTTTATTGTAGAAATTTCTCTTCCGCAGATAAAAAGTCATTTTTCTCGAAGTAAAATAATCAATAAATCAGAAATCAATTATTTAATTGTGTTCTCCTTACAAATAAAATTGGCGTTTCTCCAATTTTTCATATTTTTAACTGCAAGAAATGCATTGGTGGGAAGTTTTCAAATTGACACCCGGTATAGACTTGCTAAGTATACAAGACAGAATATTACTTTAAATTTAAAAATTATTCCCATATTTAAGTCAATCTGAAATGATTCATTTGTTGATTTACCTTTAAAATGAAAAATACCAAAGGGGGGCGCCAAGCGGACAAAAATTAGAGCTCCTTTAATTTCATAATGTTAACATATGTTTCGTTTGTCTCTTAAAAAATCGGCAGAAATTAGTTTTTTGCTGCAATGTAATCCGGAGAGTTTTTTCGTTCGGGCGTAATTTTGTAGTGATTTGCAATTTACTTGATCAAGACTTGCATCACTGAAACATATTTCTTGATCACTGCATCTACATTTTTTCTGCTTAGAAGTTGAATCATCTAATTTTTCAGTAATTGGCATGTTTCATCATAATGAACAGGACTCGTAAATCATTCTGTATAATTAACTATTGACAGCAAATATTGTAAAGAGTGACTTGTTTCACAGGATTATAATAAACGATATTTTTTCAAACCTTTTGCAAATGTGAACGCATCGATGTTATACAAATTATTTGAACTGTAAAGATGCAAATAAAATCAAAACGATAAAAAACAGATTTCTTTTGTTCGTTCAATGAATTTTAGACGGAACACAAATATAAATATTGCCAGTTTACGTTAGAAAATACAATGTGTAAAGTAAAATTTTTACCGTCTTGCTAGATTACTGTGTATATCTATTTTCGTTATCCATTTATACGGTAGATTTCAAATTTATTTATTATTAAGTTTTTTACATTGCAAAAAGAAATCAATATTTTGCTTTTGTAAATGTCATTTTGAGTACGAATGGTTTGAAAAAAATAATTGATTGGATAACAGATCAGTTTAGTAAAAAATCAGCAAAATGAAACTGTTGAATGTTTTTAAGTTACACTTTTTTAATTACTGGTGTTTGTATAACTACAACTTTGAGAAAACTTGAAAAAACGTGAAATACTTTTTAAATAATTTTTTTATTGCTTATGTCTTATTCAAAGCGCTTAACTAAAATTTGTCAAACGACATAAATCACAAAAAAATTCATACTTATTTGAAAACTTTAATTTTAATGCCATTCAAAGGCAATTACCGTGTTCAAGAAATTTTCACTAGTTCAAAACAGTTCACATTTGTTCCCGATAATTAGCGATTATTGACGATATATTCATAATATATACATAACTGCGGTTTACTCTGTTTAACTTAATTTTAGATGGTTTATTAAAAATCGGGGTTAAGATCAAGATTCTAATTTCCTTCATTGTAATTTAATGCTGAACAAAATAGTATGAAAAATTCCAATTAAAAATCTATTTCTCTTTTCATTTTATTATTAATATGCCGTTTATTTACTGAGTAAACTGAGTTACTCTTTTATATCTTTTGTACACTGGACAAAATTAAATAAAAAAGCGTGTTCATTTGTTTTATATTTATGTTCAAAAATGTCAAATAAATATTTGTAAATTAATAACGATACTAATTATATTAGATGTTATATATTTAACAAAAAAAAGCTAAAATGGTCTGCATAAGTGGCGAATGACAAAGTATATGCCACCATTTGGTCAAGGTTTTTGGGCCAAAACTGCATAACAAAGCAATAAACAATATTGATATTACTCGAAACTTATTTCCATACCATTTCAAATATAAAATAGTCAAATTCGTTAAATGATAAGAGAGATTGAGATTTAACTAGAATAAGCTTCTATACCTACATTGCAGGACAAATTAAAAAGGAAAGTTGTCATAAAATTTTAATTAGAACTAAAACTGGTTACACTGTAATTAAAAAATATGTATTTGTCCAACTTCGACAGTGTGAGACGGCTAGATTTTTGAAAACATTTGAAAATTTAAAAGCTCGCTAATTTTTTTTACCAGGTTTCATCCAACTTTTGGAGCTCTTAAATTGTTTGAATTGTTTGTTATTTTGCACTAGCAAAATTATAACGCTGATGGATGGCTTTCAGGAAAGAAAACAGTTTGAGAAGCGAAATTTTACATCAAAAGCTTTTTGCCATGAATTTAATTGAGTCACTGCCAATATCGATCTTTATTTAAATTAGGTGCAAAAAGTGCCCAAATTTAAGTTTATATCAGACGTTTGAAGACGCACATCGCTATTTGTATTATATAACTGTATATAGAAATTAAATTACATTGCACAACATATGCGCGATTAAAACACACAATTGGAATGCAAGTTCTTCTCTAGGTTATATAAAATAAAGAAGCACATTACCTTTTTTTTAGCATCTTTATTCAGTCCTGACCTCTGCGCCTCTGATTAGTAGATAGTAGTAAATTAACCTTTTCTCAGGCTGTTAATGTCTAGTATTTTCACACCGAAAAATTAATTTATATTCAATTCCCTACTTCTAGTTTTTCTATATGCGGGCATCACCCTGTTTGAAAACGTGCATACATAAACTGCAGACATGCTGGCGCGTCTAACTTAATCAAATCAGTTTTTTAGACATTATCTCCGGTGAATTATTCTAGGCAATCTACTCAATTGGACTTAATGACCATTAGTCATTCCCATTGAAAAATAGACAGGAAAATTAAAATTTTATTTTCTGAATCATTCAGTATGTCCCGATTAACTAATAGACAAAAAAACAATTATCTCAGTTATTCATATTTATTTTTCAATTACAAAAAAATTCGTTTTCATTTTATAAACACCACTGTTGAGAAAATCTAACTAGATCAGTAAGGACACATCTTTGGTTAAAATAAAAACTACATCAATTAGTAAATAAATTAAAAGGAAAAAAGCAAATAGTTCAATGCTAAAAGTGAAGAAAATTGGATTCGAATTTCACACTTGACGCAACATTGTTTGCACGTTGACTTACAAGATCGACATTGAAGTAGATCTCGAATGAAATAGATTAGTTAAGGCAAGACTGTATGAGAAAATTAAATGTTCTACGTTAATTAGGAAACTAATTACACTATTTGTACAAACCATAATATTTACATAAAATAAACTGAAAAAAATAACACAACTCTTATTTAACCATCTCTCCAAATTTTTATATCAAATAAATTTTTGTTTTATTATGTACTATATTTTTGATCACTTTACCAGCTGCAGATTTATTTTTCAAGCAAAAGTAACAATGCCGGTAATAATCCGAAAAACGCTATACTGTGTGTAGTTGCTGAATTGCATCCATCATATTCACAAGTTCCGCAATATTCCATATCTCTAGGACGATTGTTTAAAATCTCATCTGGACAATCTCCAACTCTCAAATCTTTGTGCACCATTCTACATTCTCGATGGACTTCATGGAGACCATTTGGCGCTAAGAATAAACAATAAAAAAATTGTGAAACTTTAAATAAAGAAAAGTGCACATAAAATTAGCATGCATCAATAAATCAATGAGAAAAGCAAAACGTTACGTTACGAAAAGAAAAAAGATCTTACTTGAAATAACTCGTTTCAAGCACACATTTTTGAATTGCCCAAAAGTAGACGTATGCATCCCATCGCAAGGCGACAAATGAGGATCAGTTCTTGCCGGTTGAAGATTTCCATAAGAATACGCATCCATGTGTCTTTGGTTTAGGAGAATTCTGGTGGTGTTAAAGTAATCCCTACATGTGGCATCTGTTTGAGATGTACATTTCCAACATTGAATAGCGAAGCCTAGAGATAAAAAAATACTTTATTTCTAGTTTACAATAGATATAATTTATTTTTATTGGTTGCTTGTTTCGAATTCCTATAATTCATTTTGAAATTGCGTGTTCTTCTTTCGTTTTAAACACTCGCTACGCACCCGAGTGAAGTTAAAAACCAGAACTCAAATCATTTCACGTTTTTTAATATGAAACATTTGCAAAAAAAAATGTAGATCAAGAACTCAACTTTCTCGTCTTTATAAAGAGTCAATCATAAAGAGAAAAGTATAATTATAATTGTTTTTGCTTATTTTATTTCCGCTTTGTTCCACGATTTGGGAAAATAAAACAATTTGATCCCATAATACACATTACCTGCTATTTTCAGTTTGTTTCCTGTTCTAAAAGTTAAAATTTTCTGAAAATATAACGCGTTTATATACGCGTTTCGGAGTTGGGAAACGCCCAAAGTAAAGACAGATGTTACCTATACAACTGCTTATTTTCCTATTTATTTGTCATTGCGACAATTAGCTGCAGGCCAGGATGAGTTTTAATGGAATTAATTATTTTAAATGGCCGAAAACCGCCCACTCTTGCCTTTGAATTCACAATGGTAAAGCAATTAGTCGTGAGTAAGATGGAACGTTTTACAATAGGTACATTCTAAAACGTTTTCTTCACTATTTTTTCGGATATTGGAAATATTGCTTGCAACTGTGATATTTTTTTCGTTTAATTATAAGCTGACATTGAATCATCACAAAAAAGCCCAATTCGAAGAGCGCCAAGACTTTTTATAAATGACTAAACAGTATTTGCAGGAAATCCTTCAATGAAAATCGGTTTATTTTCAATTCAAATACTATTTTAATTGACTACGGCTTGATAAGTAGTAGTAGCGTATTGCTATTATTAGCATTTTAACTTACGAAACTTAGTGTTTTTAGTAAAAGTTAGTGTTTTTAAAAGATAATAAAAAAGTCAAAAAACATTTTCTGAGCGCAAGGAATTTATTTAACTTGTGTGCTCATTTTCTTGTCTAAAAAATTGTCGGTTCAAAAATATCGTATTTTTTAGTCTTAGCCAATGTAATAGTAAATGATCTAGACGACCAAATTATTCAAAGAAATAACAATTACTACTTAAAAATAGTGTTTTGAATAGAAATGCAGTGCTTAGAACAATACCATGTTTGAGCAGACTGAGATCAATTTATTTAGCAATATCTGAAAGACATTTAAAGTAGAATTTTACATAAAAAACACTGTTATTGAAAAAAATCTATTAGATAAAATTCCCAATTTTAATCCTTTTAAAAAGTAAGACATTGCTGCAAAAGAAATAAAAATATAAATGAGAAAACATTAATTAGAATAAGCATAACAAATAACAAGCACTGCAAAAATGACTGCTGCGAAGAATGCGACAGTTTAAAATCTCAAACAATTTAAATGATATGTTGTTTATTCCAAAAGTAACTTCTAAAGATATAAAGGTATTTTATTTGAATAATTTGACATTTAAATATGGATTCTAATTGCTCACCTGTATCGATTAAAAAGAAAAGTGTTCCAAAGATGGCCAAAGCAAATCCTTGATTCTTCATTGTCACTGCACTAATGGTATGAAATAAAATATTAAAAAATCAACTGCTGAACCCTACTGGTAACTCCTATAAAACTTTTAACCCCAACTGGTAACCGTCAGCGGACGCAACAAATTATTCGATTTTCTCCTGAGCTTTTTGATCGGAGTTGCAGCTGGCTCCCACCACTTTATCAACACGTAAGACAATACGAATATCTCTTTTTCATTGTAGAAAAATGTTTTTTATGACTAAGCTTATGAAATTGTAAATTTACATAATCGTTCATATATTCAACAGGAAAAAAAATGCTATGTGCTTTACTAAAATCATGTACAAGGTAATCCAATAGCTAACGTGTGGCATTGGTTGTAGTTTTTGTTGTTGCAGCTAAATCAAAGTACTTTGTAACCGTGTAATATGATAGAATTTTTTTTGCCAAACTATTTAGATTGTTCCAAATTCCTCCGAAAAATATTGAGTTCTTTTCGCGGAAATTATTGAAAAGATCTATTTTAGCCCAATTTGATTTCAATTAATCTAAGTACATTGCAAGCGTCTATATAAATTCAAGAACATTTATCGATTTTTTTATGAAAACAAAATCGATTAGAAACATTAAATTTAGTAATAAGAAGCAACAGATTTCTTTTGAATTATAATGTATTTACAGTGCGAAGACAAGCAAAAGTGACATTTCATGAATTGATATATATTTAAGGAAGGAAATTGAAAAAAGCAGGCGAGTAACAGGCGGAACAGAAATAAAAAAAAATAGTTCCGAAAAATGTTGCTTTTGATTTATTTAGTATTATTGGTTAAAATTAATTCATTGTGTGGATATTTTTATGAGAAGATGCTTTTTAAACAAATACATGCATTCAATGCAAAAGTTCAAAAGTATCATGTAAGTTTTCCTGACTGTATTTCAATTTTAATATAAACAATATTCCTGGGTTTGAGTCATGGACAGTAATGGACAACATATTTTAACAATTGGTTGTTTTAGACAAACTGAGGATGGTGGAAAAACACCGAAACCCATTTTAATAAAAATGAATAAATTGTGATATTGAAATAAATGACCAGGAATAATGTTTACATTAAATGTTCAAAAGTATTTGAAAAATGAGTTGAATGCAATTTTAGTCAAATGACAATATTAATTCAATATTAGAACGATAGATTACTAAAACATGCTTTGTTGATCCATTCTTTCTAAACTACAATGGTCATAAATAATTTGTGTGCGATGATTCACAAATTGTATAGTTTTTATATGTTGCTAACTTGGTTATTCATAGAGCTTATCCGTTTACCTGCCTTCAATTTGCGTATATGCCTTGAGGTAAACAGTCGTAAAATCACAGGAATATGAGAAACACATGATTGTTTCTCTATTTCAATCAGATAATTGTTGTTGTGTAAAATCTATTGGCATATATTACCATTGTATTGCCAATACTTGTTTACTATTAACTATTCAAATGAAATCGAGCTGTGATGCGGTCTTGATTTAAATAAAATAAAAATAAATAATTAAAGTTCCTGATGTAAGTAAATAGACAATTTTTATTACTACCTAACTGAAATATTTCGCAAAGTTACACTTTTGTTATATTGCTTTTAAGTAATTTAAAAATAGAAAACAACGATTTCTGAGCAGATTGAAAAATTGGTGGTGGCTTAGAGTTATGTTACCAGCATTCTAGTATTTCTTGACTGGCAACAATCTGAAAATTATTGCAATTTATATTAAAACTTTCTAAGAGTTAGAACGACGAAGAGAGGACTAAGAGTTAGAACGAATGAATTGAATCACTATCTTCAATTTGCTGGTGTGAGTACTGAGTGAAATAAAGTAACTCAGTAACTTAAATCCAGCTTAAGAACACCATAAATCACATTGAGTTGTTGCAAAATGTATAGCAAAATATCGGCAATTAGTAATTTGGTGCTCATTTAGTTCCCATAAGATAATTTGCTCTGTATTGATACAAATTCTTGAATTCTACGTCTCGACTAAGCCCACTTGAACCCAAATTTTAATTTGCCAGCGAAAGTGGCCAACTCTCATTTTCACAATGATGATAAACTACTTTCATCGAGCATCAAACGAACGTTATAATTACTGAAAAAAATCTAATTACTTGCTATGAACGCCCACCTAAGACCTATGAAAACAACATCTGCTCGGTTATATTGGGAACTCATCAAACTACACCTGAACGTATTTTAAAGCGAATAGTATACTGACAGTATTTGCAAACTTTGTCGTTTGTTAGCAAGCTAAACACCCTGTAGTGTCTAATTCAATACAGGCAGGGGCTGGGCGATGAACCATATTAAATAGTCCATCAGAGTAATGAAGGAACATTTAAGGGTGTGTTCGGCTGGAATAGGGCCTTTATGATCCTTCGAAATGCCGTTAGGAGTCATGTTCGTGCTACTGCGAAATGGGATTATTCACCCCTTGTTTTCAAATGTGACATCGATAAATTTATGTCTTCAGGGAGGGTCAAATAACAAAAAAAAAACATCCTAGGAGACATTAAGAATAAATTGGTTGACAATGAGCTATATTTCGGAAAATGTGCCATTGATTTTTTAATTTTTAAACTACAATTCAATAGACATAAATGACGGAAATCAACCCTCAAGTTATCCTCGACAATAACTGTTTGAGATTAGAACAGTTCTGATACACAATAGGCCAGTCAACACAATTGCTCTATTAAATAAATTACGATTAAGCTTACCTTTTCTCTTTCAGCACTGGTTGAAATAGTTTGAGGACTAAAACATACATTTGGGTTTCCTAATAAAGTGTTTAAATCTGCAATGTCCTCTAAAGAAGCATTAGAGTTTCCAAACCTGGTTCTGTTGGTGAACGGAGTATTTTATGTTGTTGTCTTTGTTCCATCTGTAGAAGATTCACATACCGAGATCGTTTTTTGCTAAGTTATTGGAGCTTCGACAACATTAACATTTTGATAGAAATATGATTAATAAACGAAAATGTTTTGAATCGGTTCAAAAACCGAATTTTCTTCTAACAGGAAAATTATCTTATTAATGGTTCTAGGCCGCTAAAACATTTGCCTCAAACTTCAAGGATGTTAAGAACTTAAATAAACAAACACATTTGGTGGTATTAGCGGTTTAATAAATAAGGCTGTTTTGACTTTTTTCTAACATGATTTCTTTTTGCTCTCTGATGAGTTGAACTGAAACCTCGGGGGTTTTTACGAAAACTTTTAAGTTTTATTTAATTTACTTTTATATTCGGATAAATATTTGTAATAATAGTTGCGCTGCTTTATGGTTGCTCGAAAATTATTTTCTGTATTATCTAATATAGCAAGTATAATATTTAATTAAAGGAGCTGATAACGTTCTAGAGTCGAACTTCCAAAATCAACACAAACACGAAAATCTTGAGTACAAAGCTAATTAGTGGCGTGTTCATAGAAATGTAAGTGTCTCAATTTAGTTCGTTTCAACGTTACGAGATTCATCAAAGTATGACTTAATAATGGAACCATAACAGCCACATTAGAAAAACCGTGCAAATATTGTTTGACTTGCCACTTTTATTTATAAGCGGAATTGTATGTTCAATAAGTAGAATTTTGTGAACATTTTATTTATTTTTCGATTCTAATATCAAAACAACAATGTACATTCAATTTAAACTACTCATAGTAAATTTACTATCGGGAGAATACCTGTAAACGTGAGAAATTTTACGAAATAAATAATTACATCAACTAACACTACTTCAAACATTACATTAATAGCATGAGTTTACGTTTGCTAGACCAACCACAAATACTTTTTGTTACTTTTATTCCCATAAACACGTTCTATTTATTTGGTTGCAGTTACTAATTTACTTTGCTGCTTTTTAAGGTCTAAACATTTCAACATCCAAATAGTAGAATATATACATTTAAAATTAGTTCCTACAGTTAGAATTGGTATATTGCAGTAAAGTATTTCCAATTGATTTCTTAAAGAAATTTAGGAATGAGGTAAACTGCAACAACCCCCAAAAGGGTTACAAAGTTAAAGTTAACTGCTGATGCAGAGTTACAATAATCTGCATTACAAACGTCGCAAACGCTGGTCTTTCCATCATTATCGCTACAAGTAAAACTGAGCTTTCCATCGTCACTTTTGTCTGCAATAATACATTTCCTTCTGGTCATGTCCTTCTTGGATATTGTGTCTAAAATACAAATCGGAATTAGAAAAAACTTAACTTCACATTTTTTGATCTTTTGGTAAACAGTCTTAATTTTAGTAAGCAATAGACTTAGAGCAAACAAAAATGTTTAAATTATAAAATGAGCAATGAATCAATATAACATTAAAGATTGTCTAAATATTATTAGTCATTTCTTCACCTTCGTCATATCAATAAAATTAATGGAATTACATTTCATATTCAATTTTTCTGTCTTATGTTACTGTAGTGTTTGTTTGCGCGCTTCGCTTCAACTCAGTATTTCATGTTTATTTCACGAAGGAAACATTTAGAACTCAACTCAATCAATTAACTCAAATATAGTCGCAAATGCTGTATCTTGTACATTAACATTTTTCGTTTCAATCTTGCTAAACTCTTTCTTTTAACAGCCATTTTTTTTCAGGAAATTGTGACTTTCTTGTATTTAGAAAGATGGCTGAGAGTAACTACGAATTGGAATGATTAAAGTGAACTATACCAGAATGTGTGGTAAACACCCAGATTACGTATGAACGATTGTTCATTCAATATATATTTTTTAACATACTACACCTAAACTTCCTTATTGCTGTTGGTAACGTTTCCTACTAAAAATCGAAAATGCAACTTTCAAAAAGTTGGAACCATAGTGTTTTCTGAAATAATTTCTTAATTGAAACAACTGAAGTTATAAATAAATTGTTAAACAATGTAGCAAAGAGGTCAACAATATAAAATGTAAATATGTCGTTTCCTGGCATGTTTGTTGGTTTGACTGAGACATGCAAGGAATTCACCCCTTTTACTTTGTCTCTAAGGTGTTTACATTAATAATGAACATTTATCTGCCTTTAGAATCGTTTGTTTATTATTTTTTATTATTCTAGCAATTAATTCGCCCTAGAGTTATAAAAGCTCGCATGCTCATAAAATTTGATAAATTTTCCAATGCGGTGTTGCGTTTGTTTTTCCCTACACAATTCTCAAGTTAACAACTAGTTAATTTATAAAATTACGCTTACCAGTGTAAACTTGTTTTAAACAAGCACCGGCTTGATTTTTCGCGCTGACGGCTTTTCCGCAACCAGGCACTTGTTTCCATGCTGTCTTTTCGTCACAATCTTTTCCTTGGCAGCTCCAGCAATCCAAAGAATAAACTAAAATTAACAATGAAAAATTACCTTGCGGTCAATGCAGCGAAATACATAGAGATGGGTAGATATAGACACGTCTGTCAATTACTTTCATAAAAACCGACTTGGCTTTAGATTAATTATTTAACAATTTGGAGTTAAAAAATGAAGCCATAAGTTGAACAATAATAAAATGAACAAAACTCTACACAAGAAAGTTACTAATTTCGCAATAAATTTGTTCAAATACCGTGAAGGACGCGAATTAGATTGAGCAAAAATATTAACTCGGAATAAGAAGCAATCAAACAGTCACTGACAAAAAATGTGAATTTTTAATCGTCCTATTACAATCTATCGATTTAGTGATCAAAATCAAATGTTTTCCTACTAGAACAAAATGACTGAAAATAAATTGACTGAAGCAATTTAATCTAGACATGAACAACAAAATCAATATCTTGGGACGCCAAGAAGTCTGAAATGAGCAGGAAAATGTATAAATTTCGTGGAATGGTTGCCTTTTTGGCTGCTTTTATAGAGAGCAAATAAGCGGAAATTGGGTCAAAGATGTTTTCGATAAAAATAAAACTACATTGTAGTAAAAGCATTTTTGGGGGTTCGCCATTTATATCAAATAAACGAAACATTAGCAGGATATGAGACCGTTTGCGATTTAAATGGAAATATATATGAATTAAATTATATAGAAATGTGTGTTTTGAGCAGAAAAGTTCATCTCAAATCATCTAGATTAGTTAATAGAAATAGGTACGACATTCAAATAATTCAACGAATCTAAGATCCATGTAATATTTGTATGTCGTTTGAATTAACGTTGAAGTATTACTTACTGTTTAATATTTATATGTTGAAAACAGTTTTAACCGCATGGAATTTTCTATGGTACTTATGGTAGTCACAAGGTTGAGAAAATAGCTGCGAATTTCAATTATTATCACGAATGATAAACACGGTGGTGGCGGTATTTAAATTAGATAAACGTTAAAGAACTATGAGCTATGAGTAATACTCATTAGCCGTGCCATAAATATGTTAACTGAATGATAATTCCCTGGAACCTAAAAAAACTGTTTCAACTGCATCACATGAACTTATGGCTGCAGTCAATTGAGTCAATAAAGGCTTAAAATATACATCTAATCTATTTTCTGCTCTAAAATTAAGTTACTGTATTTTTCATTAAAGCTTTGTGATGCGTTCTTCAGCAAAAAATTGAGATTTGGGCATCCGTGAGTGGCAACTGTTCACATTTTTACTTTCTAGATTGCTTTAAAATGTTTGCAAGCGACCGAGATCGATATCTGAATGTTTTTCAACAATATAAAAAAATCTATATTTTAAGTCTTTTAACTATTTTTGGACAAAATGTTTATAGTTTTCTCTATAATGTTTTAGACTACTTGAATATTAAGGTAAGTGTTGACATCAGTTTACAGGTGCTGTATTGTGGCTACTGGAATTTGATAAGCACGTTCACCACTATAGTCTTTATAAGCTTTAGTAGGTACTTGAAGTGTGAATTTCACATCCTTAGTTGCTCAAACAAATTAACTCAATCGCAATGATTTCATTAGTTTCGTGATATGGTTGATTGTACCACGGTCACCATGGTTGAACAGATATGGGTCTGTGGTTCTTGACATACATTCCAAATAAGGTTACAGTAAAAAAAATTATTTGTAGATACTAAATTTACTTCGTTGAAAAAAATTTTGTTACGCATTTAGATGATTTTTGCACCAGTTTTTTAAATTATACTACATGAAAGGAAAATCCCAGATCACTTGATGTATCAAAATCCAATTTCATCATCACTATCCCATACATAGTTTATTAATAATAATGAACATATGTTTTCACATGAACTAATTAGGCGGTAAATTGGATCGTTGCAAATTTAACCTTGCTTGATAATTTTATAAATTTGTTTTGATTTTTTTGCTCTGCTTTTTTGTAATTTATAATTTCCCACTTTAGTGGAACATCATTTTATATCAATATCAGTGACCAATGCTTTATTATTGGCCGATTAATTAGCATCTTTAATAAAATAAACATAACATGCTATATGGATAGGTGATATTCCATTTATTCGTTTGGACCGTAAAGGTCAGCTTACTAACCAAGGTTGAGGATGCCGTCAACATTATTAATAAATACTTACGCGATACATATTTAAATATCAAAACTAAGACAAGTCGATCAATAAAATTAACAATAGGTTTTACCAATTACTGACCAATGTGCGTGTTTCACGCTTTAAAAACAATACTGCGGCGAATGTATTTAAACGGTATTTTATTATTTATCAAGCTTAAAGGAGCCCAAAATCTAATAATTAAAGATGATGGAAATAACCATTAAAAAAATTCATAACAACTCGCAAAAAATCGAACGGAAAAATGAGCAATTACACACAAACAACATTAGGTATGCTCAACTCAACGCCTCTACATTGAAAACTGTGCAAATATGTCCTCAAGTCGAAGTCAAATAATTTAACATCAGTTGTTTATGGTAAGTATAGACCGAAGCCAATTATTAGAAATCAACCGAATTTCGCAGCAGAAAAAATAGCCCAAACAACACGAATAAGCTTTAAGTGAAAGTCGGAACTGAAGCAAACTCGAATTTATTGAGTATTAGCCGTTGGCGATTTTTTTTAGTTTATCTGGATGACCCAAATTTCGCGCTTCTTAATTTTTGCCAACATTCACCAAACTAATTAAAGGTTACAGACTTTCAATTCAAACTGTGTTCTTTCACAATTGAATGAATTTACATGTCTTCTATTTGCTCGCGCCTTGAAACAGAATGCGTAGGTATTAGCAGCAAGAATAAAAATAGCCGGTGATGACAACAAAATGAGAACGAAAACATATTGCCAATAGCAAACAGTACAGTTAATTTCCACGAATTGAAGCGACTAAGACCTAAAAGCAGATTGACAAACACAAAAAAACAAGCTGCGGACTTACCCACTTGTGCTAAAGCAACCAGCGCAAAAAAGTACACTATTTTTCCCATGTTGATTTTTTAACGCTACTAGCCTGCCTTACTTGTTAAAGAAGCTTGATTTTAAGTAGCAGCTTTTCGGTTTGCAAGTGCAATGCTGTTTCTGTTGCTTAAAGCTTGAAATATCTCCTGCTACTTCCAACGAAAGAATAGTGGGAACATACAGGGCCGGATTATTAAATGCTGACCAGCATTTTAGATACGAAAATATCCAATATTTTCGGCTTGCCAAAACATTACTTCTTTTGCTTATTTTATTTTGATGCTCTGAGATTTTATTGGATTATTTTAATGGACCTAAACAGACTTGCAACAAGCAAACTTTTATTTAAGGAGCGCGCCGCACTCGAAAATAAATTGCCTTAAAAATGTCATACTGTACAAATAATGTATAGGTAATACAAACATTTCTCTCTCTCTCAATCTCTCTCATCATCATCTCATAAATTTATTTTCGTCTTTTTAAATAAAATCGTCTTCGTCTTTTTAAATAAAATTACCGTTTTTTAACTGGAAAAATTAAATTTGATCTGATATAGCACGTGTGCCAAATTTAAATAACAAAATCTACATAGAAAATTGTGTTTTCTGAATTAAAATTTACTTCGCAAAACAGTACCTACACACTAAAATTAATTCTAATTAATTCATATTCCGCTAACTACCCATTGCCTCACAGTTTAGGTGGAGTAAGCTGGAGCTTCATAGTCATTGAAAACAATCAGAACGAGAACCTCTCATTTCGTTTTTTAAGGGCAATTTGCTGGAAATTGCCTCTTGAACGAAGGAAACTAAGATCAATTTTACAGAAAAACACTCAGCTCTTCCATAATACTGCTAAAACAAACTTGACTTGAACCTCTAAAAATACCTGCCTAAATTCAAAACTTATGAGCAGCATTTTTAACGCGAAATAAGAAAATAGAAAGCAATAAATTTAATCATCAGTCCCAAGAGATACACAGCCCTACACACGCACACAAACAATTATTTGACTAAAACCATTCCCGCACGACCATTTTTTGCTACATGTTATTTCACATATTTAATATTATTTTTAAATTAGTATTTTCTTGGCAGTTTGACCACCAATTTTCGGGCCACGCTGTTAATTTTCAGTGTGTTTCTAGCTTTGACTAAAACTTGAAAATTCGGCTATTCTCAAACTATTCAAAACCATTATATGCAGTTAAGCTTGTTGTTTTGGTTCAGTTAAAGCAGGGAAATAAAATTTGCTTTTGTAAGTGACATTTGGAATTCTACCATAAATCACAAAACCGAAACTTTCAAGCAATAAATACGGCAAAGAAATTATGTTTTGTTGGTGATTGCTTTATTATATTCCCAAAAGTTCTTTCAATTTCATTTAATTTTCATCAGAATTACTAGTTTTAATATGGACTCATTTTAGCTGTAGTTCGCATGTTTGATTCACAATAATATGAATAATATCGTGTAGTGACGGTCTCTTGAGGCGGATAGCAAGCAGGAACAAAGTTTCAGTGGCGCAAAATTATACTTTTTCCCGAAGCATTTTTTCGAAGAAGTTTTTTTTCGAAATTTACAACAAAATTTAATTTGGAATCTTCTTCGTAACAGCGAATATCATTATGGAAAAGAAACTGCGTCGCTAGAACTAGTAACATTAAATTAATAGATAATTAGTTAAAATTAGAAAAATAATTTAACTAATAATTTCCAGTGGAGGGTTTGGAATCTCCCATCCCTTACTACTATAATAAGCTTCCTTCCCTTACCCAAAGAACTCCAGGAATATCTAAATTATACGTTTAGGTTCTCTTAATGCCTCATCGATCAATCATTCTTTCTTTTAAAAGGATTATACACAATACAATGTATATCCTGTAGCCTACGCAATAATCAAATACTCCTCTCGAAAGTTATGTGCAACTTTCATTAAATTTACATCGGTTTAAGATTGCATAAAGTTAATACAACACATTTTGAATGGGATTTTCTAAACTTCCAAATCCAACGCAGAGAGCAATTTCAATTCAAAATCTAAAGAAATTTGTAATTATGTTGCAAACTAAGTGGACGACTTTACTAACAGTAATAATACAAAATGTGTATTTAGCAAAGAAAAATTTATTAATAAACTTTATAAAACAAAAAAATGACCTGCAATCCACAGGTGGTTAATCAAGCTAGTATATAAAAAAAATATTGTATGTATACAAAAATAGAGAGTAACTTAAAAACTATACAAAGTATATAAATTGAGACATTTACTGCATAAACAGAGAAAACAGTTGACATTTTGGAGAATTAATTCGAAGAAGCCGAAAATATGAATATAATTCGACTGAAAACAGCATATAGACATATAAAAAGTTCCAGCCATATCAATATCAAATATTATAGTACAGAGGTAAATCAACTTGATTGATTGGGAAATACTTAATATAAAAATATAGGATACATTTTGGTCTTTGAGGTTTAAACTATGAAATATTCCATTTAATGGAGTTTAACAGCTAATAGCTTATGGAAAACAGGCGATAAATATTATAGATATATGGTATGACATCAATATTATACATTAGGGCACTTCTAAATACTACAGTCTAGCGCTACAGGTATATTAGTACTTCTTCTTACCGTAAATATGGAAAATATTTTAAATGGCCAACCTACTTTTGAGATTTTTCAAAAATAGTAATGCAGGAAGTTACGTTTAAATGCCCTACTATGTATGCAGAGTAGGATTGGCCTTATAAAATACATATAGGCTTACAATATATTGTGCGCTAAAAATACAAAACAAATTAAAGAAAAACTGTAAACGTATAAAAACTAGAATTTAAAAAAAGCACAATGAAGAAACTAACATACATATTGAAAAATCACAGCAAAAATGTACCTAAAATTTAAACTTTCTTACTTTAGGGGCCTAAAAACAATGATTTTGGAAGCTGTAACAACTTATATTAAAAATTGAAAAACAAGACTAGCAAAAATAAACAAATGAACTTTTTTAATTATCGAAATGACCTGGGTGACGTTGAATATTGAGTTGTAGATGTTTTTTCATTGAAATTCTCAATGGGTTTTCTCAACTTAAAACAGAAAAGCCAAAGTAGCCATCAATACTCCAAAGAGTGTAAATCCGGCAAGCGTGGAGGCTGAGTTACATTTGTCGGTGGAACAAGTCTCACAGTTCATATCGCTGAGACTATCGGGACTATTGCTGCTCTGGTCCGATACCCATCCAACAGTTTTGGCAACTGCTTGGCAACCAACTGCTGGTCCAGCCAAGCATCCTCTATGAATGTATTCTTTTCCTTCCTTATCTGAAATCATTTTTTATCAGTATTCAGTTGTTCCCTTGTTTAATTATCTATTTAGAATGTGTTCCCCAAAATCACTACTACAAACTACATGTTTATTAACATTAATCTGTATTGCTAGCATTAGCGAAGGATAAACTGTATTCTGATGTGTATTAATCAGATAGTAAGGGTTGTCGACCTAAATCGAAAACAAGTAAATAACCTCATTTTCACTAAAAGCGATTTACGTTTTTAGTATCTGATGTCTATTTTTATACCCATATTAGATTATTCTTTATGCCTAGAAAACTAGAGCAAGGTGATTTATTTACTATGTCCCAGGCTTTTACGTTTATATTCTTAATTGTGTGGGTTCTTTGCAAAATTAATACAGTCTGTAAATTTGGAATAATTCATTAATTGCAAAGTTAAAGGTAATACAAAGGGGTATTGGAGACCGTTTAAAAATCAGTCTATTGAATACTGTTCCTATACAGGATAAGGCAAAACTCTATTTTCGCTGTGCATTTAAGGCAAGATCAGGCTTAGTTACAGGATTATTTCTTACTTTTGCAGAGCAGTGGAAAATATGACTCTGTGTCTTTCAATTGATTAATAACATATAATTTTTAATTTGAACGTTCATTGCAGTTGATAACACCTTGATAATTTTAAAACACATCACAACAAGTTAGTCGTTTTTGATCATTCTATCGAATTTTTGTAGTCATGTTCATCTCATCAGAAGCCAAGATGAATTTTGTCAAAATTTTGAATTGGTTGTTTTCACCTAAATTTGTGAACACCCTGTGGAAAAAGTGTAAAAGCCCACAATGCGACATATCTGCATATGAATTTTAAGCTTCGGGTTTACTAACATTTCTTTTCTTGATTCATGTCGATCCATCAAATGATAACCCAAAAAAATATGAAAATCGAATTTAAACTAAAGCGCCAAGTGAATTTTAAACTGATAAATATTGATCGTGTCCAATAGTTGTTAATAACACCTTCAAGATTATGAGGAATTATTTAACTAATTCCAACAACTAATTAAAACGAGAATATTTTCACATCCGTTTTTTTTCCTTTTGTAAGGTTGTGTGATGTTGTGTGATACTTGCTTTACGCATTATACATTATTTGATAATGAGACTGATGCTATTAATTAATCTTGTCATAATTAATTTTTATTTACATTTTTCATCAAAATGATAGACAATGTCACTTTGGAAATTAAACTCGAATCGCCAAATGCATGTAAAAAATCAATTTGCTAACATTTCTGAGCCGTATTAATTTAACTTCTCCTGTGTTATAAACACCTTCATCATTCGGTAAGTTTTTAATAAATTATTTTCGACTGTTAGCTTCTTGCCAGTAAATATTTTTGCAAAACTAGTCGTTGAAGAGATAAGTAATATTTGGAAGTTTTGAATTGAATAACCCAAAAGCAAGCTAAACACTAATATTTTATAAAAACAACTTAAATTCCAAGAATTATTGAGTCTAATGATTACACCTTCACTCGAAAAAATCTTTGTTCATGAAAACAATAAAATTTATAAAATTAGAGCTTTCGTTTCTTAGTTTTGATTCTGAGAATGCACAAATTGAAAAATATCTAATTTAGCTTCTTTTTGATCAGGCCTAGATGATAAGATAAAATACATAATTTTGAAAATAAAAATACTTTCTGGTGCCATGCATTTCTCATTAAGATTAATGAAGCGCTTTTAACAACTTCTATTCTTTTCAGACTTTGTCGGCTCTTTAATCTGTCTTTATCCAGTTTAAGGTCGCAATAAAAAATACCAAAAAATTGTAAACAATGTATTTCATTCGTTTCACCAACGAATCACCAAATTACATGTTTCAATGAAAAGAAAGCTGCAAAACTACGCAACGTACGACCTAAAATGAGTTTTTTCACTTGATCTGTGTTGAAATATCAATTTATTTTTTTTAATGTTTAGACTATTATAATTTGAGTGGACACACTGGAAAACCCGTAAAATTCTTTGACAAACAAAACGCCTCATTATTCGCCTAGTGCCGTTAAGAACCAAACGAGGCTCAAGACAACGTCAACATTCGAATTTGTATGTTTACTTTTAACATGTATAATAATTTATGTATGTTTACAAAGGGTTTTGTGAACACTATACAAGCCCTCTTTGTTTCACCGTAGACGCCAAGTGGTAAAAAACGGCCTTTTGGTCTCGCCAGAAGCGCACGATGTGAGAGGAAAGGGAAGAGCAATTATATATTTTTTAAGTTCAGTTGCAAGTTTACTTTAATAAAAGTAAAATAATTAATTAAAAGCTTAATAGCTTAAAAGCAAAATAAAAAATTCTTTCTGTTCTGTAAATGATACAAAGTTTTCTCGAATAGTGAATTTTCTGAATTTCGCATTTCTGAATCTTCTTTCATTGCTGGAAGTATACCCCTACAATTCTGACTGGCATTCAGGAGAGTCTTTTACAACAGAAAATATTCCTTTATCACCGTTCTACAATCTGAATCAAATTTAAATATTTCGAAACGTAACACACTTCTTACAACAAATGTTGCTCTTTCTTAATTTAATTACACTTAGCTTTCAATTATTTTCGTTTACTTCTTGCTCTTCATGTGGAACATATTGTGTACTTGTATCATAAAAATACCCACCCCAACAGAGTGAAATGTATTTTAGTTCATTATTATTCATAATAGAAATATGCATGGAAAGCTTTATATATTAGTATAATCATAGCAATTACAGTAATTACTGGTTGCTGTGAGTATTTCTAACTTCCTTGTTGTTGCTCGTGACAAACAGAAATTATATCCATTAAAGTAGTTGACTTGCATTCAATGTGAAATTGAATAAAAGTAATATTTTTTGCAAGCTGCAAAAACCTAAAAACTGCATGGTATTAGATGCTTTCATTTAGACTTCGACAAAAATTGTTAAATTCCAGAAAGTATTAATAATTTGGCGGTTTAGAACGTCTGTTCAGAATGTGAAATGCGGCTCACATATTTAGGTACTTGCGTAGCTTCCTTACATCTTGAGAAAATTATGCATGTTTGCTCCCACCCGCAATTTGGATAATTTAAGTGTATTGCGTGTGTGTGTGTGTGAGGTCAAAGCTCTAACAGGATAATATGAAAAAAAACTAACAATTGTTCCAATTTTTCTCTAAACCTGAATACCTATTATAACATGATAATAAAACTCAACAGAAAGATTAGTTGGTTAGGTAGGCCTCGAGTGAATGAAATATTCGAGGCAGTGGAAATGAGAATAATATTCCACGCATGTATCATAAATTATTCCCGGTTTAATAAATTTGCAAAACCATGAGGTCATCTTGGTAGCGCAAATGGCCAGCAAGTTGTTATTTAAACAGACAATTGGGTCATTGTTGAATTGACTTGGCGCTCTTTGTTTTGTGACCTTCCATTGAAGATTTGTATTCTACCTGCAAGAAATTATGTCGAAGCACATTCGGAATTATTATTGTTTCCAAATTGAATCAATTGCTGAAATATATTTAGTGAATTTTATGAACCAAGAGCTGAGTGCTTATATTACATATGCTTATCAGTGTTGATACACTTATGTAAATTTGCTGTTTTTCATTGAAAACAATCTGTGCTCTAGTCATTCATCTGAATCTTTGCCATGTTTTTCCAATGTTCTCCTTTCTCCATCTCATTTTCTGTTTTCTTTATCACCTTTTTAAAGCTATTTTTTGTTGTGTTTGTTAAAGCTAAGCAAACTTATTTCCAACCGCATCTGTGTGAACAGCCTATTTTTGATCGCCGAAATTTTTGAAGACTCGAAACAGCATTTATTCTTACGTCTTCAACATTCCCTAGATAATTGGATAGCTTTTGTAGGGCTCCATTCCCGGCTATTTCCCATTAAGCTTCTGCTTTTATGTTATCAGCTGTATTAACTGAACTGCATTATGTTTTATGCGAAAACAAAAACAAACCGATGACTGCTTTGCTTCGACTAAACATATTAAATCGAGTGTTGTCTTTCTCAGTATTACGTAGAAATAGGCATGACGCATCATGCCATAGTTACAACTCATGACTTCCATTTTACAAATTAACCATTGCTAAATAAGTTATTTAGTTGAATAATTTTCCATTATTTTTACTTTAATCGCTAGTAGTAAGCTGCTAATGGATTGTGAACCCAAATTACGTAATTCCCAATGTAAAATTAATTGTTATTTCGTCCACATGAGGGCGTAGGTGATAATTATTATCACACAATAATTTTATTAACATTTCCTTTTTGAATCATTTTTGGTATCAGCTAATGAGCACTGTTTAACAAGAACCTATTTAACATTTATTTAGGCAAATTATGATGCTGATGGGGTAATTACTACCTATTTAACAGTTGCGTAAAGAGGATCTGATAACTAGGTACATATAGGTAGGTGCCTATACGAGCGTAATCATGTAACTGGAATGTTTCCATGTCGATGACTAAGGAAAAGGAACAAATAGCGATAAAATTTTAGAATAAACCACGTGTTGAAGAATGTCATGACAATTTTTTTGACGATAAAAATTTTTGCACTTACTTTTGGCAGTAAGTTTTACGCAACTGGGTCCAACAATGCTATCCAAAAATCCCAGACTTCCACAATCCACTGTATCATAAGTGAAAGATGCGATTCCCCAGCCACAGGCCATGCTCTTCTGAGTATCGCATGAGTAGCAGGTTAAAGCTTCTATAAAACAAAAACCAAAATGTGTTTATAGGCAAGCATAAATATGTGCTAAAATGTTCTTGTTCTTAATAGAGGACCTAATTAATTTTTAAACTGTGCTTTCAAATTGGTTCCTCATTAAATAGCATTTTTCTCATGTCAGGGTTCTTTAGTAAATCTTACGATATACATTTAGAAATTATCGGAATCCAAGGTGTGTTTATCACATTTACGTCAAAGCTTTTGCAGACAGATCAATTTACAAAACGTTTACTGTTCGGTTTTTCTGGATCGCATTTAAAATTAGAATTCTGGTAAATAGGTATCATGTATTCCACAGCTTTTAATATAGGTAATTGGGAACGTCAGAAATATGTTGATAAAAGTATAGGAAACAGAAGAATTTGCAATGTATTATTGATTATACCTACTACATTTACCCGCTAAAAATTACATTATATTTAGGTATATAGAATGCATTACATTCAACCAAAGAGATGAAAGTTGAAAATGTTGAGTGAACTAGGTACTGATTAAAATAAGGTTTTAAAATTGAAAAAATTTTCACAAAAAAAATACATTTCCCATGTAGGTCGGTAGAAATTAACATTTTCATAAATCGTTTAAATTTGTTATATGGTTATGTAAATAAGTATTTTAATTCAAAGAATAAACTGGTAGAAAACACGATATCCTCGATTATACTAGAGTACCTATTATAGAAAATCAAATAGGGTAAAAGAGGAACAGAAGCTTCGTGTTGAAATGTTTTCGTATTGCTGGTTGAGCCTTTCCTTTTGTTGTTTACCATTCATTTTTCATTTAAGTCAATGTTATCAAGTTTTTTGCGCATTTCTGTTTTATTGATGTTCAGTTTTAACACCAAAATTCTCACCGTTGTGAGTAATACAAACTATTGGAAATACAAATGGTTAAGCTCAAGCGAATTATATCGATGAATTTTAGTTTTATAAGAGAGCCTTAAAGAACTCGTTGCGTCACCAACATAATAAAATACGTTCTGCTTGTGTTGAGATAAATAGATAGCTATTTTATTTCAATGCTCTTTTCCCTATTAATAATATAATACAAACATTTTTAAATGAAATATTTGATTATGTATTTGCTTTCCTGGTTTAACCTCACTACTACTTTGAAACCTCCATTGAAAAAGAGGTAGGTAGGTAAGCATAAAAGTGTTTCAGTGCGGTAACATTTCGAAATTACAAACATTTAGTTTAATCAAAAAAATAACATTAATCATTTGGTTTAAGTGAAACAAAATAAATTTTATGTTTTGCTATTACGAATAGATACCTTAAAACTGATGCCCAAAAATTTTTTGCCATAAATCAGTTCAATTTAAAGCACAGTTCCAGCTCCTGCAAAACATTACCTATTTACCTACTTTCCAAATTATTTCGTGTAAAAAATGTACTTAAAAATTCATTAAAATGTTTTAAGCGGTTTCCGAAATAGGTACCTATTAATAAATTTGAGTTTGCTCACACACAGTCATAAAACTAGTGTTTGGGGAATACCTACCTACTTATAAAAATTTCAATTTTTGATGTGAAGTTAAAAGAAAAATATTCATAGAATAAAAGTTTAATTTTTGGTTGATTTGTGTAATCATTTCATAAAAAATGAAGTGTTAATTATCTATCTTGTGGAGAAAATAGTACCTGTTATGATTTTTTTTTAAATTTTAAAGTAACCGACCAGGAGTTAATTGATAAAGTAATAATTCTGCAAAATGAACAACTGAAGCTCGTTTGCATTTTGTTAATATGACTTCAGTTTTATTTTGAAATAGGTTGGTATACAAAAAATCAACGTTTGTATTTTCAAATAAAAGCATTCTAAAAATAAGGCTGTTTTTGCCCTCCATTAAGAACGTGAACACTTAAAGCATAGTTGGAAGTAACAGGTCACGGTAACAATTAAATTTGCACATTGCCTAACATGCACGTACCGACAAATGTTTGAAAGTCAAAAATCGAGTAGAAAAAGCAGTTAAATAATTCGAGGAAATGTGTGTCGAAGAACGCTCATCTGAATTGCGCTGATATTTAGACGCAAAAAAATACAGCCGTTAAAAATTATCCAGAATAAATAATCATATAATAAATTTAATTGTTTCTCTTGTCTCGTATGGTACGCGAGCACTGCTTCATTCTCATCTTATTAATGAATCAAGCTGAATTGATCTTAAGATTAATAACCGTTTAGTTGTTAATTATGTTTGTTTATTAAGATAAATCGAAAGTAGCTACAATATTTCTGCATTATGTCAAATTAATGTTGCCTATTGCTTGGTTGTGATCTTGACTAATTGTAAACAACTAAATATTTAAATATCCATAAATCTTACCTGAGCTAACAGCTAATGCTAAAACCAGCACAAAATAGGATGTGAAGGACGCCATTTTGCACGTTTGATTTAAAAAAATAGCCTTGAATTGACTCAAAAAGTTAAATCCTTTGAGGAACCGTATGTAGTGTTAAATGCAAGGAAATATTGTAAAATTCAATGATTATCAGAAATCGACTTGACTAACGCTCTCGAACTACAAACCCACAGACTCGAGCAGAGGAGAAAAATCGTCAATTGCGCTTGGCAAACGAAAGGGATCTGCCTTGGAAAGAACAAGGTTGTCGGACTTATGTAATAAAAATCCTTGAAAAGGAGTTGGTTTGAGGATGTTCTTCTCAGGGTATTTTCCAAAAATATCCAACGGAAAAAAAATTGTAACCCTTCCTGCAAAAGTCAGCAGTCGATCTTTCGAAGCGTTCCAAATATGTCAATGCTCACCAGTCTGGTGTGTAATACACCTACAGGTATATCGGATTGGTCAACAAGAAAAAATTGATAATTTATGAACTAGTAGATAGCTCCCAACTTACTAAATTCGATTAAGACTGCTATTTGATTAATGGCCAATTTACTGAAAATAAATACACAATTGAGAAATCTGGAACATCCACATCAACTGAATATTAACCACTACCTACCTATTAGTATTTTTGATCTCATTGCAAATCCTCATTCGTTAAAATATTTTCTAGCTGTTTCATAAAACCAGCCAAAAATTTTAAGAAAGGTTACTTTTCTTCTGGTGCTGCCAGAGATTAGAGTTAGTAAGACTAATTTCTGGTAGAGCTACATCCATTTCTGATTCTCGATAAGTTTTCCAATAGTGATTAGTTCCTTCCATTAACTTCACTACAGATAATATGGGCAAAGCATGTAAAGTTTCGTAAACCTGACATCGATGCTTCAAATGTTTGATATGTCCAAGGATTTTTTATCGCGTCTACAGTTTTTAGTCTTGCTCAGCATAACATTTGATAATTAATAAACAAAGGCGGTGAAGTACATTAATATGTTGATGATAATTCATGGGAAACACTAAATTCTAGACGCATACATGCGATCGAATTAAAGCGTGAATGAAGTAATGAAATTCACGCAAAAATAATAGGCACGAAAAAGCTTATTTAGGTACAACAAAGCTACGACTGTTGATTAATTACACGTCAGTCATTAAACATTATAGTACCTATTTTATTCAGTTCAGTTAGATAGAATAGGGCAACTACAGAGTAAACAGATTTTCCAAATGTGCGCATCCTTAAAGTGCAGCTTTGAAAAGCATTTGGCAAATTTGCAGTTGAAACCGCCGTTTCGCTCGACATCTATATGCCCCAAAGACCCAGCTTATTTTTGATCGCCGATAACTTTACCTCGTAAAGGACCAGGTGGAAGTTTAGAAGGGTCGATGACGCATTTTGACCAGTTGTTCGATGGTACTGCTTTCCACCAACATCGAATAAAGCTCATTCCAGAAAATATTTACGTTGCGTTCTAAATTTAATTTGTTTCAAATTTAACGCACTAGTTCATAAAGGTTATTAATTATTTTAATTATTATAATTTTTACATTTAGGTAATTACATTTTTGTCATTTGGCTCCAGTTTATCTTTTAGCGCCAGATTAAAGGAATTAGGGCAAAAATACCCCTCTACACAACCAGAGATCTGGATGTGGCCCCAAAAGGGCCACTGAAAATGTCCTTTTTGGCGCCAGTCAGTCTGTATTATATTGAGCGAAGTGCGTAAAAGATGAAACCGAATGAAATGGTAGAGGCGTATATTTACGGATGAGCTGAAAATTGATATTAAGTGTAGTGAATTTATATTGAAGTCAGCGTTTCACTCCTCTGTTACAAGTTACAAAACAAAACTATATTTTATAAGTTAACTGAATCAAATTGCTCAAATCGATATTTACTTAAATTTCTATAAACTTCCGGTTGAATGCATGCATGTTCCATTTGGAACTTTGAGACTAACAAATATTCATAAAAATAACAAAATCTACCAAGTACTGTGAGTTTTAATAAGATTTCAATGAAACCCAATTGAATCTTTCTTTCTATTTTAGGCACCAATGGAGTCGATAAATTATCCGCTTTTCTAGTGAAAATTATTAATGTGTTTATTGGCTAAATTTAGAATATGTCAATAACGCCTTATGAATGAAAAACAACCATTTCCTACTTCAGTTGAATTAGGATAAATTAATTTTCCATTTGTTTGCTCACAGAACGTGTTCAGTTTTCCTGTCGTTTATCGTTTTGGTCGAACTGATAAATATTTCAAGGCTTCTCAGCTAACAAGAACGACTGGAATCTAAGCCAAAGAAAAACGCATAAGTTATACATTTTTACAATTTATATATTATCAAAATTGAAACGTCTTTAGGACTTCACATTCACACTTATTCTAAAAGAATCCCAATGTTTTCAATTTTTCACTTTAACAGTTAACCAAAGGTACGTATACACAAAACATAAAACTACATATTCGTTTTGCACAATGTTAATTAATTAACAAAAAAATATAAGGTACATACTGGTATAATTGCTTGATTATTATACATATACTAAAATGTGAAATAATTTCTTAAAATTAAATCATTAAAATAATACTATAGCTATATTATTATCTAAGTAGGTACATCAAAACCTGAAACAAAATAATTTACTTATTAATTTCAGCTGCTCAGTTAGGTAATGTGATAAAAAAAGCTAAATACTTTACTGATTCGATTCAAAAATATTTCATTTTTAACAGTGTAAAGAAGCACATATGAAGAACAAATTAAGATGCAGTTGCATGCCGTACTTGCAGACGTTTTCTTAACAGTATTCCGACATATATAAAAATTTTATTAATTTTACTACCATAGATATGCGCTCCAAACCTAGTAAGTACTTTTTGGCCAATTTCACAAAAAAATAATAAAATTATTCCAATTTTAGCTATGAAATCGGTACTTGTAAGTGTAAGTAAACAAAAAAAATATTTGCTTTATTAAAAAGATGTTTTAAAAACATTATGAAACCATGATATTCTTTTCGTATAAAAAGTTGCTAGGTACAATGTTTAATAAATTATACTTACAATAAGTAAAATAGTTGTAAAGGAAATCACATGTTGGCAGGCAGCATTATCGACGTAATTCTCTCCCCGCTTAATTTCGGTGATGTAATAGTAATTAAAAGCGTTTCCTATAACAAATTTCAACATTAAAAATAAATTGGAAATACCAGATTGAGCGGAAATCCAGAAACTAGAAACTTGTTGGGAGAAATTATTGTACAAAATACAAATTTAAATACAATTCTCGTTTTGAAACTAGAACTTTAAATCAAAACTTCTTAGTGTGAACCCAATTAAAATTTTTGCCGGTCCATTAAATGGGGTTTTATTCATAACATTATTTGGAACGGCAATATTAAACTTTAGTTAATAGACACTTACCAGGTAACACTGACGTGGTAACCAACAGAAAAATGGAAAGTATAATATTCCTAATAGATGCCATTTTGGAAAAACCCACCCAACTAGTTTACAGAGGCGGCAGGGGAGACTGAAAGGAATAAAGTTGCATAATTAGATTTAAAATAATATATTTCTAAGGATTTATAGAGCGTATTGCGCTGGAAAATGTCTATTCGGGGAACTGATACACTAACAATAAAATATAAGAAACGCAGGAAATGTCTTAACTAGCGGATTGTTCTGAGAAATTGGAATTAGCATTGCTGTTTACCGGTTTCGAAATTAATCGAACCATAAAAAACATTTACAGCGTATCTTGAAAATTATATAAAATTGCGCTTAATATTTTGAATAACCGTTCATCCAATAAAAACCAGTAATGCTAAAATTATTTGGCATTCATACTTTCATTAACAGTTAATACACCCATATTAATTTCGGTTCGATTCGTCCACAAGGTGTAAAAACTGTTTTTTTGTGGAGTATCCAAGTTTTTTAAGCAGTTATCGAAGATGACAACAGTAGAATTTAATTGTGCAAAGAAATTGTCGAAAATATTGAGGTAAATCAAAGTTTTATTCAAAGAATTTGCTTCAGTGATTATGAACATACCTACGTTTATCTTGATCAATTTTGCCAAGAAATACAATTGTTGATATTGGTTTAATAAACATGCAGATGTTGTTAGATACGGTCATATACCCAATACCCAAAAATTAAACGTTTAGGCGGCCATTTTCGGAAATGAAGAACATTTTTGAATTGAATCTACATTTTATTTATGTAGTTAACGTCTAATTGATCGAGCCGAGAATTGTCTAAATATGGGAAAATTTAAAAAATTGATTTTTGGATTTGCAAAAAAAGTGATGAGTGGCCACCAAGATAAGATTTTACCTCTTTAGACTTTGCTTTGCGATGGTATTTTAAAACGATAGCTTACTAAAGTCAAGAAAGCGAATAATATTCAGGACAAAAAAAATCGGATCATATGAATGTGGACGCATAGTGCAGACCAGAGACAAGGGAGAATTGTAGACACTTTAACAAAGTGAAGGAAGAATTTATCGCTTCTTTAATTGATTGGAAGATTAAGGTCATTTTAACGCCGAATAAAGATAATTTTGATTGAATGATTTTTTTATTGTTTCAAATAGGTATAACAAAGGAAAACGACTCGTTCAATTATATTTTTTGGGGCCCTTCAGAATAAAAAATAACATACAACCAATCAATGATTGAAGAGTATACAGGGTGTCCCGTAAGCTCATGATCAAAAGGGTACTGCGATATTCTTTGGACCAAAAGAAGACGATCTGACCTAACTTTTATTGACAAAAAATGTCGGGCTCCTCTGCTATTGATGGTCAAAGTTCTTCAAAAATTTTATCTTTTTTGAAATATCGGGAGAATGGTACGATGTATTTTCGTGAAACTCGCTGTGAATTTGTTCTTATGTAAGACTCATATTTTGATGAAACAATCGAGTTCAGCCGTTTTGGACAAGTGGTGAATTCTTGAGTGTCGTGGGACAAAAACTACCAGAACTTTTTAGTTGGAGGTTGAAATCAATTCATTTTTTTAGGTTGAGGCACTAATCCTTTATTCACAATTTTGTGCTCTTTGTAAAATCTTGTATTATTCATAGTTTTTGCGGAAAAAGATGAACATGATGCTACATGATTACATTATTACGTCAATTTACGAACGTCGAATATTATCAAAAGCAAACCGTTCTAGAAAATAAATGCGAAAAATAAGGAGATATACAATATACATACATACATGAAATAAGAATAAATTATCTTGCACCATTGGGAACAAAGCAAATTACAAAGAAAACCATTTGAAAAACTCAATACGGGTGTAGCACGCATTACACTTTGAAACTATACGAAGTTTGGTCTAATTTGGCTTAAGTACATGAGATTTTGGATTTGCAGCTAATGGGAGTCATTCAGTCTAGAAATTTGTTGAGGTCAGCCAATTTTTTTATTTTTTAAACTGACGTCAAACGCAATTTAAATTATTTTTAGAAGCTGTGAAGCATTTCCACGCTAATATTATCGAATGCGTCCAACTCGAACTTGTTGCTCAAAATGTTTCTAAGCAGGTAACAGAAAGTATTTGAATTTTGACCCATCAACGCAGGTCAATCAACTCTTTGGATTTATTATTCGGGTATAGTTAATTCACATTCTACAAATGCCTTGCGTGTATTAGTAGAACAAATATGCCTATTAATGACCGTTTTCTACAATAGCAAATAATTTCAATCATACAACTTACTTTCACTTTTTTTCACAAAAGCTGCATAACCGAATAATGCGATTTCAGGTCTAACAAAGTCAAAGATAGAACATCACTTTCGACGATTTCCACCAAAACTATCCACATTCTTCCCCATACTTTTAATTCAAACACGTCCCAGAAATAGGTCGTTGCGACCTTCCACTTGTAGTAAACACCATCGTCGAAAAGTGAATGAGATTTAAATGTTTAAAGGCGTACCGAGAAGCTGAGGCGCATCTGTAGTACCTGCCTACGCTTTAAAATCGCTTTTCGAGGAGATCGACTTTGCACTTTAAGGGTATGTGAAGGGTAAAGTAGCATTTAGGTCTTGGGTTTGTGGCTGATTTTCATTATCGGATAGCTAAATTTTCTGGGCTTCGTGAAAATGAGATGGCTTCTGGAAATGTTATTGGCATCTAAACAGGCATCTTAATGTTTTATTTTATTCTTATCTTAAACTGTCCTGTTTTCTGCTGCTTTATCGACAGTTTCTTCAACCTACTTTAATTCTTCTACTTTTCGGGAAATTTGAAAATTATTCATATCTTTTAATTTACGCCAGTTTTAGGCGTTTTCGTTAGTTGCAAATCAGAAATGTTTCGATGAGCCATGATATCAGTGACTGATTAGCAGTGAAATGCCCTGAGAGAAGATTAAATAAAATAATTGAGCCCCACTGATTTAACAAATTTGTGCTTCCCAAAAAGCGTTGGATGTTTGAGGGCATCGTGCATCGTATATAAAGTTGAGCAAAATTAACGAAAACCTGGTCGCTCTGAATCATCTCCTTTAGGTCACGCAGAAAAGAACATTTAAAAGAAAAAATATTAATTTAAAAAATATGCTAATCAATAATCACAGTGCTATTTCTTTTCAAAACAAGTAGGTAGTACGTATCAAGTTGTTTATTTATCTGGCAAAAAGTTCCAAAACAGAAGCGATAGGTTCAACAAGGCAATTAGAAACAAGCTTATTAAGGATTGATTATTTAATAAATTTAACAATAAATATACATTATTTATTATAGATTTGTAATTAAATCTAATATTGAGCATAAAACGGACTCCCATAGAAAGATTTCCTTTGTGCTTTCTTCCTACGGTTCATTTCGCATCTTCACTCCAAGACAGCAATTTTTTATAAAATTACTTCTGAAGCACTGGCAATGTAACAAATGCATGAGCGTAAGAATTAACGTAGAAGTATTTTATTGTTCTACAAATACCTACCTATTAAAATGTCTGCAACTGGTACAACGATCGTTTTTTTTTAAATTTGACTGCCACGTTATAGATACTAACATTCAAATATTTTACAGCTCTAATTCGCTCTAAAATATAATCCTGTGCTAATTAGTAGTATTAATTAGTAGTAACTAATTAGTAAAATCCTCTTCTCCACATTTAATTCTAATAAATCTTGTTATCAATTACGGGATAATTATTGCATGATTTTACAAGATTCTTGACTTTTCGGCGATTTCCGGCGAACGAAATATAAAGCACAATGTTCAAAAAGTTAAATAATAAAATTTAAGTAAAAAAAACGGCCGTAGAAACCTAAAATATCACTTTTGAGGAACATATTCTTAGTAAATAAAACATTAATATTTAATTAATTAATCGTATTAAAATATCCAGGATGTACTTCCCGTTATTAATCATTTTGCTTTGCATTTAAAGTCCTTATGCAAACATTGGAGCTTATTTCAACTCAATGATTAAGAGCATAGACACAACATCCTGAATTATCTCTTCGCTACCGTTCAGAATGAGTCAGAGTAAATGGCTCGCAGAAAAATCCCGGAAAAGACCGATTAAACTTCCATTTGAATCAATCCTAAGCCAGAATTGAATTCGTTGTGGACTTCTTCTTAATGTTAAATTAAAGGACAATTTCTAGCTTCTATTGTTATCTATTACTTTCAGTAGTTTATTATTAATTGGTGGTTCTTTGAATTCTCTTGAAATCTTAAGTGGGTGGTTCGTCCAACATTGTCTAATTTACAAATGATTTACAATTTGCAACCCGCTTAACTAAGAATATTTTATATTAATTATAGTAAATTTCATTTGCCATGCTGCACTTAGGTTTAGAAAGTCATAGGTAGATATTAATCATTATTATTTTCAAGTACCTATATTATTTCGAATCTCAATTGATCCTAACAATTATGTGTTTGTCTCGTTCACATTGGATTGGAAGTGTAATGCCGAAATGTTGGAAACAGAACATTCGTTAATAGAACAAGTAATTGGGGTTTAGAAATCTTAATTATAATTGTTATGGATGTCCATAAAATTCTTGAAAAGTTGTAAATTTTAGATCCTTTATTACTTTACCGACAAACTCCCAAGTTTTATAACAAAAACTGTTTTCCCACCCAGCACCAAACCTCACAAAAACGTATAGTGAAATTGGCGATAAAACGTTGACTTTATTTAAATTTTTATTAATGTTTTCCAGATAAATATCCTGAGGTTGACGCAATCACTAGATAAAAGTACAGCGATCCCCATTTCGCATGCTACTGTTTACAATACATTCAGATGTCCAAATATTTACAACTTGTTGGAAAACCAATTTAAAATAAATTTATCTAATAAGACCATTGTTTGAGCTTGTTACAACTTTAACCGTAAAAAATGACTGCAACAATTTAACTGATAACAGAAGTCAACAAAATATGTTTAAGCATATTAATAATTCTGGTCATCTCCTGCCCTCGAATACTTTGAAAATAATAATTATTGCAAAATATAATTAAAAAAAAATGAAGTGAAACACGCCAAAGACCACAACAACGATTTTTGTGCATTAAATTGAGAACTTGAAAAATTAAAATTCCACCTCCAATTATGAGTGGTTTGAGGTTTAGAGACATTTTTCTAGAGTTTTGCAAGAGCTCTTGAGCGTTTCATCTCAGGCTCGAATTTTGAAACTTTTCAAAATGTTGCGGTTTGCTTTACTGAATTGAATTTTTTCTAGGAAGATTGTTACACGCTTTTTCTATGCGCGGTAAAAATTTCAAATTATTTTAATAACTGGTTTGAGATTTAGATACAATTTTCTAGAGCTTTGCATGAGCTCTTGAGCATTTCTACTCAGACTTCCGCTTAAAAGCTTTTGAAAATTCACCGGCTTCCTATGTTGAATTGATTTTTCTTCTGAATATTCTTGGACTCTTTTTCTATGCGCTGTAAAAATTTCAACTCAATTTATAGCATTCTATTCTTTAATATAGGTAAATATTCGGAATATTTTCAATTTAATTGAATCATCGATATGTTTGATGGACAATCCTTCGTAAACAATGGCTGCAACAATTTAACTGATAACAGAAGTCAAGAAAATATGTTTAAGCATATTAATATGTATATTATATAT